TGTGTGTGTGTGTGTGTGTGTGTGTGTGCATGTGTGTGTGATTTCGTGTGTTCCCACTCCCCTCCTATTTTCATAACCGTATCTCTTTTTTCTTCTCCATCCCACATTACCTCCTCTTCACCTTCATATACATTTTCTCTATTTCCTTCTTGTCGTCTTATTTCTCTTATACTCGCCATCGCCGCCATCTTTCCACGACTCACGGTATTAGCAGTGTAAGCCTGTTACTCTTTTCCACTGATGAAACAACCCTGAAGAAAGATGCCAGTTGCAACAAAGTGAGCGCTTTTGCTCCTCAGTTTTTATTTTACTTTACCTTTTCCTTCCTCTGGTATCCTTAGGATGTCGAGGGGATGAGCAGGTTTCGGTGTCTTTGATAGGTATGTAATATGTTAATTAGTTATATTGTTCCAGGACCTTTTTAACCCCACCCAGTCAGTTCTTTCTTGGTCTTCCTCTTGATTTAAAGCTGGATTCGCGGGTGTGGTAAGCTCTAGCCGCTAGTTGTTTCTGGGGCATTCTGGTTAGATGTCCGAACCATTTGATTCTTTGACGCTCTAATAAATTTACTACTGGTAGACGTATGGTCTCGTTCCTTATGCGGTCTCCTCTGGTGGCGTTGGTGGTTTTGCGGAGACACCTAATTTCGCGTGCATTGATTTTTCTTTCTCATGCCTTGTTTAGAGACCATGTTTGGCACTGGTATGTTAATGTTGGTATGAAGATTCTATTGATGAGCTGGGATTTCACCTCAGTTGGGATGTTCATGGGACTGAGAAGGGGTGCTAGCTGGTAGGTCACCGCATTTACCCTCATAGTTTTTGTTTCTTTTTCTTTGTCCATACGCCCATCTGGTGTGCAGATGCTTCCCAAATATTTAAATTCCTCAACTTGTTGGAGTTGTGTTTGTGTTTCGTCAATAAGGATGGAGTATCTTTAGGCCATTCCCAAAGAGGGGACGTTTCTCATGCACAGTAGAATTGTAACTGGGCTGATCGAACAATCTCATGCTCATAACTGTGCCGGAACTACAACAGGGAACTGCTCCTTTTTCTTTCATAATCCTTACAATCGTCATTTTCCTCTACTTCTTTTGTATGTTTGTCACTCTTGTGACCCGCTGTTTCCGGGGTGCCTTGACAGTTGAAGCAGAATTTGTGCTGTGGAAGCTAGGAAGGTGAGCAGAGTAAGTTTGATTCCCTGTAAAGACTTCTCTGTTGACATCCACCCCTTGGCGCTCATAGGACATTATGCAGTTGCGAGTGCCGTAAAACCTCTACCAAAACCTCTAAGACTTCCCAAAGTTGACATCCATTTACCACGTCGAACGCCTTTTCGTGGTCCACGAAGACGACATTGAGGTAGTGTCATGTCCAAAGTCCAAAGACAGTCTCACACAACTGTCCGAATGCAAAAAAAAGCGTCGGTAAGGCCCCTGCCTTTTCTGAAGCCAAACTGGGATTCATTGAGTTGAGTCTCTACAAATGGTCTCATTCTCATTTCCAGTATCTTGGCAAACGTTATATCCCCACGGCTGAGAAAGGATATTCCTCTGTAGGCGCTGTGTTGTTTTTGTCGTCCAGGCCAGGTTAAATATCCTCCATAGCCAGAGTTCTCCGATATGGCCGTATAGTTTGATCTCTTCTGCTGTGATGTTTTCAACGCCTATCGCTTTGTTTGTGGGGCTTTTCTTTATGACATGTTGGGTTTCACTCAGCAGTATTGATGGTTCTGGAGTGGTTTCTTTCGGTGAGAAGCGGATTGCTGTTGTTTCTGCCGTAGGATTCAGCAGCTCCTGGAAATAGCGTTTCCATCTTTCCTTAATCTTTGGCTTTCTGAAAATAGGTTTTTCGTTCTCATTATTGACTATTTCAGTTGGGTTGAATGGTTTTTCCCGCATCCTCATACTTTTTTAACTCTCTTGTAAAACTCTCAAAGATCTTCTTTACATTTTGTTACCAGTTGTTCTGTCCAGGATTTGTTCTTAGCTTCTTTTACTACCCTTGATGTATAGCGGCATTCCTTTCTGTATAGTATGTAATCTTCCCTGTCTTTGAATTCTGCCACTTTTTGCATTCCCTTTTCTTCAGTTGGACGGCTTCCTTCACTTGGTCATTCCACCATATAGTTGTTTTCTTTTTCTGCCCTCTTGTTTTCCTGGTGCCACACTCTTCTTTTAATGCTCTGTTCGCACATTATTTGAAGTGGCTCCATTCCTCTTCAATGTCTCCCAGTTGTTTGGGCAATTTGTGTAATACCTCTTCCAAACGTTCATGTATCTTAGCTTTGGTATTGTCATTTATATTTTTTAGATTTACGACTTCTCGTCATTTCTTTGCTTCTGGCCTTTTCCTGTTTGGTGTGTCAATAGTCATGATGACTGGTCTGTGGTCAATGTTTGTGATGTAGATGGAAATCACTCTTGAGTCCTGATTTTACTCAGTTTCGATCTTTTGGCCCGGATAAAATCAATTTACGATGGTATTTTTCGGTCATTCCATTTGTACCAAGTTTTAACTTGACTCCTTGTGTGTTGGACGCACAACTGTAATAATATCATTTCTCAATTGCTGTTTTGATATGTCTTTCTGTCACTGTGTGGCCTCATGTATCTCTCCCACGCCGGCTTCCTTGTTCCCACTCTGCCGTTAAAGCAGGGGCGAAGCGTCTATATAATCAAATAATCACTGCTTCCCTTCCTAATTTTGAAACATTGTCGCTGTCAAATCCACCCTTAAACATAAACCTCTTAAATTAAATGTAAAAAGACGTTCGTAATCCACAATGAGTATGCCTAACATTCAAAACGGTTTCACGGCCACAGAAATAGCCTCCTCACCCCTCTCGGGCCACTCCATAAGCAGTCGCAAGCTTTGATTAAGTAAGCTTAAAGTGAGGCTGGATGAGTCTACCTATAGAGTTGAGGGAACATGTGCATAGCAGTCATGGCTGTTTCATTGCCACATATACCCTGTTCACCCCTTTGTGGCCACAGTTATAATCAATCACAAGCCCTGATTATATAAGCAACGAACACTGGTCGAGTCTACCTCACAAATGTGAGGGGAACTAACTCCTAATAATCTCTTGACTGCTGCATGTGCTTGTTTTTTTTCCCTCGACTTTTTACCGTCCTATAATCAGATCGTGACCTCGATTATGACACCAGCTCCAGGCCGCGAAAGGCTAACAAAAACAGCCAAATGTGAAGTTTAAAAAATGATAATTGTCATGTTCTACCAAAGAGTTAGACTCACTGGTAGATCTATAACATATAGATCTAGTACTGACATCTCTGCTTCTTTGCTTTGTGTTTATGTATTCACATCTAAAGTTAAATTTAATTTTAGTTGGAACTGATACTTAATAAGATACTTTCCCGATTATTTTGGCGGTTGAAAATACAATATGAATTCCGAATTTGTTTTCATTTACAACTCAGTCAGAGTCGCCGCCTTGAGTAAGATTCTTGTGTGATATCTACAGGCCATATATATCTGGTCCCGTTTCACTTTGATTACCCTGTCAAACAAGTCAGCGTTCGCCCGTGCGTTAAAGTCCCCCAAGATTGTAACATTATCTTTGTCATCCACGGTGTTTAAAAGGTCACTCAGTTGATCATAGAACTGATGTCGCTGTTCTTCGGGGTAGGACTCATTGCATGGTGCATATATCTGTATTTGATGACCCTCAGTAATTGTCATATTCTATGGTGATTTCCCGCTTTATACCATACTCGTTGAATTTTTTTCATATTCTTCAAGTCTGTGTTATGCTTGGGTTTAACGGCACTAGCAACACAAATAGGTCATATAAGCCCCGAAGATTAGAGGTGTTACAAGAGAGTAACATACACAGAAAAGAACGATGACAGATAAGGACGATTGATTGTTAATAGGGGAATAAAGGAACAAACCACATCCCAGAGCACCCGCCAACCTCCTGTTTGAGTTTTGCATGTAAGATTGAAACTGCTTTCAATTTTAATCATTTACCCCCAATAGCAAGTTAAAGAAGTCTTTAAAACAAAATGAGTGATGTTTTTCTTTTGAAAATTGGACCATTATTATGGAGAGTGTGCCCGTTTCTTTTTTGGGATAATAGGCATGGGACTCCCGACGTCACGCTTATGACGTAATTAAACGGTAAATATAATTTTACTCTTAATGCACTTGGCTTTTATTTTTATATATTGGTTCTACATTTGAAAAAATGATACCTCAATGGTTACGATACAACTATTATTAAGGATTTTATGACGTTGAGAAGCAAAATTTCGAGTTTTGGTGGCACAAAATGCAGTACAAAAATTTGGCCAAATCAGGGCGAAAATTGATTCACAAAAATGATCGCTGCTTCTGAACTAGCAAAGATAGCACCAAAAATTTAAAAAGCTCTGAAAACAGAAAGCCACGCTCTTTTCAATAATCCAAATGTTAGTGCCCTCGGAGAAGTTTGAAAATTTCACTGAAGTGCCTAGTGCGGTCAAAAATTCGTGGTGCAACTTAACCTCAAATATCTCTTTAACGGGAGGATCAGTGTCATCCATACTTGGCATAGCAGTTTGTATCAATTTGTCTTAACTAAATCGTATTTTTCTAGAACAGTTGGGGCTAGACTAAAAAACTTTCCTTGATAAATTTTTATAAAATACTTGAAATCTCTGTCACGCTTAAAATGTCATTGTTCACAGCATTTCCCGCTTCTCACACACATTTTGATTACGCATATGGCCTACGTCACAGCTCACCAAAGACAATGTTTACTTGCAAAACTTGTACAAAAAATTATTGTTATAGTGAACACATTTGTGCACTAATGGCTCTCAAAACATGCGTTCAATAAGCACAATGTCCAGATTAGAAAAACCCGACGGACTTGCTATATTTAAAAGTTATATTGCTTCAGCTGTAAACATTAAAAAATATGTAGAAACCACCCGCTTGGATTTTTATTAGTATTTATTAAGAAATTTTCTAGAATACAGCTTGCATGTGTTCACAAAAATGTTGATCTGTTATGATAAATTGATACAAGTCACTGTGCAAAAATTGGAGAACCTATATTTGATCGTTGAGAAGATATTTGAAAATAAGTCGCACCACGAATTTTTGACCGCACTATAGGGGAGATTTCCGAGCCGTCCCTGCCTTAAAAGCCCTTATAATACTATGCTTTTTAGTTTTTTAAATTTCTTTCACGGCTCCCAAATGTCACACCATCCCCTACTCCCCCTTTCCTCCCTCAAAGAAATGGAAACCAGCTAAACACTAAACAACGCTTAAATGTTAAAGGTACTTTTACTTCATCCTCTGTTGCCGTTAAGCGTCGAGGAGAGATGCATGGGTTTTCTATGGTAGGCCACCACAAATTCCCCGTGCTCAGTCTTGCTGACCACACTCTAAGTTAAAAACCGATAATGTAAGCATTGAACAAGCGCGTATCACGCGACTATTGGTCAGATCACACTTTCAGAAAGTCAAGCGGCTGCAAAACAAGGAAAGTGTTAGATTGGAACCCATAGGGTAAAAAAATGGATGTGCAGAGAAGTGGGAAGAAGGAGTGACATCAAGTGACTAGCCCAGGATAGGGAAAGGTGGAAATTGTGTTTGTTTTTGGCCTATATATCCTGATCCAGGGCGAGAAAGGCAATGATAATGATGTGTCACGAGACTGCGCCAATTTATTGATACAGTATTTAAAATGTGTGTGTATGTGTGTGTGCGTGCGTGCGTGTGTGCGTGTGTGTGTGTGTGTGTGTGTGTGTGTGTGTGTGTGTGTGTGTGTGTGTGTGTGTGTGTGTGTGTATCATATATATATATATATATATATATATATATATATATATATATATATATATATATATATATATATATATATACATATTTTTTTTATTTAAAAAAATATATAGGCTATTGTATATATTTATTATATACAGATGTATTATAGAAATAGCCACCCCACCAGCTGTTTCGTTGTGTTTGACATTAAAAAAAACCCAACTGAACAGTTGTGTTTAAAATTTTGATTTAAGGCTCAATACCGGTTCAAGAAATGAGCTCAAATAGGATACAATTCTTGGGTATTTTCTCAAGTGACCCAGCTTTTTCAGTTGTTCTAATTATGTGTAAAAAGGAAGGAGCAACCTTCATCTATTCTATATATATGTTAGCTCTTGCACGACAAGTGCAGGGAAAGAATAACAATTGTAAATAAAATTGTCGCATACTCTGTGGCAGTAGTCTAGTACTATTAGTAATACAGTCAGAAGAATCACCAGCATACTGAATTTAAGTACACAAAGTGACAGATCTGAAACAGACATCAGCGATAATGTTTCCCCAGTCATCTTTCCGCTCGGATATAAAAAAAAAAAAATTCTACATTATCCTTCTGTTTCCACGTCACCCTTCTGTTCTGGTTTTCCGAATAATTTTCTCTGGATCTGCCCCTGCCTTTAACCTTCCATTTTTCTTGTGAGCGCATGCATGCTCCTCGCAGAAGAATAATCTTGCGCTGTTTTAAAGGAGCGACGAGAAGAGGAGGTAATTTTAAAGGCAAAGCAAGATCTATTTATATGTTCGAATGATAAAAATATGCTACGAAGATGCTTACATCTTGATTTATTTCAGTTTAAAAATATGAGCGGGGATTAAAAAAAAAAAGCTTCAGGTTGATCTCTGGCTCTGGCCTTGGCCCAATGGTAAAATTGTTAAAAGTAATATCGATACTTGGTATTGAAATTTCAGTAAAATAGATACGATATATATGCGTCTATCCGACTATCCGATTTCTATGGACGATTGGACAACGGAGAGGCCGAAGTTGAATGCTGTGAAGCAAGATGGGGGAATTTTGATCAAGACTGGCCTAAATTAGAGTAAAAAGGCCATATTCTGACATATTGTTTTGTCCTTGTCTATGAGGGTTGTATCGACATTTTAAAACTTTAATCGAATTCTGGATCTGGAATCAAGTCCGAATTGAGGTAAGTGTGATTGTTTCATAGAGTATAATTTGAAAGTGAAAGAAGAGTTGTTGACTGAGGGAAGATGGTCTTTGGCATGGCCATGGTGAACGCAAAATTGTTTGGCCTAATCTAGATCTAGATTCTAGATCTAGATCTAGATCTAGGCTATAACGGTGAACGCGCACCGGGTAAGAATAGCCAAAAGAGTCGCCTGCACTATTTTCACCCGGGGTGAGAATAGAGGTGGCCTTCTTCATTGAGAGAGATTAAAAACTGGGAAAAATAAAGAATTCCTAAGGTTGTCAAGACAGGCAAAAGTAGTCCTAATCCGCTGGTCCGGTATTCTTCAATCTTACCGTAACCGGCAACCGGGCACGTAGTCACTCTATCATGGTAACCGGGCAGTCCAGAACTCCCAAGTTCAGTTTTTGTTATCGGGTGTTGCTTTCATCCCCACCCCTCCCCTGGTTGTACCTTTAACCCTTAACTCTTATCCTGCGTCTGTGCCCAGATGCGTATCTTATCAGCAACCGATTACGTCGGACTCGCCGGGCAGGCCGCCGGGGTCACTCAGTGTGTACTGTTGGTGTACAGCGCGCGCGCCGGGAAACGTGTGTTTTCGCCATGAATACCGCGGGAGTGTGTTAACTGATGATGAAAATAACGCTCTATCCTTCATAGCATTCTATTTATAAAGTGTTACAAACACATGAATAACCCCCTCTCACAAGCTGATAAGACATTACGAGTAGTTACGCCCATTTGAATAACCTTTCTGGACGCTCTTGTTGTTATGAATGACCTGAGGTTCGAAAAGGGATAATTTAGGTCAATTTCCGAATGTTTTACACTCAAATTGTTCTTTGTACCTGCACAAGGGTATTCAAAACTATTAAACAAGCTCATCTTTTATCAGGTAGTATCATTTCATACAAAATCAAGCTCATTTGAAATATTTTGTATAGAAAAATGGAAGTCTTGTTTCCTGACTATCCTTTCGAGCTCCTCATGTCTAAGTGGGTCAATTTCTTCTATAATTTCATTGGACGAACATCTAGAGCTATCAACTTGGCATGTTTTGAATGAGACGTATGCCTCGATTACGAACCAACGCAGGTGGTTCTAGAAGAAGGCCACAAACGCACACAAACTCAAGCAGACTGACGCACACACACTTGACCTGCGTGAATGGGGATCCGACTCGGGACCCGAATGACACGTAAGAGATGCGCGTGCGCTGAGCCAGGAGCTACACTGACTCGGGACCAGAACGCAGGCGAGGTGCCGAAATAGGCTTATCGGGCTACATAAACCCGGCTCCCGCAGGATGAGGGTTAAGATTCTGGTCCCTGATGATAAATGTTTGCCCGATTTATATAAGCACAATCGCGCGTGGCGCTCCACAGCTGGTCCCTGGTCAGTCGTCGTCCCGCGCGGGCAACGCATTTCGTTTACGGCGGGGTCTGCATCTGTGTGCTAAAATGTGTGTGCGTCAATCTGCTTGTGCCTGAGTGTCCATCTGAAACTTACTGCATTGTTTTGCAACGCGAGGCGTTGGTAGAGATAACAGAGCGTCGGTTGAGACGTTCATCGAATGAAATATGAGCATTTTGACCCAGTTAGACACTTGAGGGACTCGAAAGGATATTCAGGAAATAGGACTTTCATCTTTCAATTTCAATGCAAACACCTTTCCTCACTTTTCAAACGATCTAATTCTTACACCAAATGTTGTTTCCTGATATAAATAATCATATTTGGTGGTTTTTGAAACATTGTCCTACCAGAGGGAGACATTTGAGAGCAACTGATGAATAAAAAAAGAAAGTGGCTATTCTCACCCGCCCGGAAGTTCTCGCAAGATCAACTCCTCCCCTCTTTTCTCTCTCTCTGTCGCTTTCTGAATACTGTCTATTGGTGTGGACGATCAAATTGACCAAAACAAAGTTAAAAAATGATGTTAAAACACAAAAGTAAATATAAATTTGGTTGTCTACAAAGATGCTACGGCTATTTAACTTTTCGAATCGAGCCGAACTACGCGGGTCGCCATTTTGTTTTGCCCGGAAATTCTCGCGCTACTCCTCTCTCTCTTTCTCTCTCTCTCTCCACTGCCCACAGACAAAATTGTACGCTTTTAGTAGGCTACAGTTGTAATGGAACGTTTGTTCACGGCACAGAATTCTACAATTTTTCTGTTATCACAGTGTAGAATTCTGTGGTTTAGGGTGAACGCAAAATTTGTTGGCCTAGATCTAGGCTATAACAGTGAACGCGCACCGGGTGAGAATAGCTAAAAGACCCGCCTGCACTATTCTCATCCCGGGTGAGAATAGAGGTAGCCTTTTTAAAATATCCCAAAAACCTCAGTCTTCAGGGGTGTCCCTCACGAGACCTCAGTTTTCGGTGAGTTTCGCTGGCAAGTCTCACCCGGGGTGAGAGGTAGATCGTTTTTCTATTCTCACCCCGGATGAGAATAGCGACTTCCTTAAAAAAATCAATATCTCCCCATTCCAGAGCCCTATATACTTCGCAACGCACAGACTTTGAATGAACTTTGGTGACCCCAACCGGTACTCAACAATGTGATGCGCCCGCACAGGTTTACTGACCGGTCACGATGGCGAGCCCGACAAGATGCTTGTATGACTTTCTTTTTTTTTTCCAGCAAGTGACAGCAAAGGACAAATATTGATTTATTTTCATTCCGGTTACCGTGTACGTAGATATTGAGACGGGGTGCCCGGTTACCGTGTACGTAGATACTGAGATTAGGTGAGACTAGGTGCCCGGTTACCGTGTACGTAGATAGTGAGACTAGGTGCCCGGTTACCATGTACGTAGACACTCTGATTATATTATGATGTGGTACATGCTGTGCTGTTGCCTGCAGCTTACTGTACCTGTACACTGTTTAACTCACCGAAGACAGGTCTCGTGAGGGACACCCCTGAAGACTGAGGTTTTTGGGATATTTTAAAAAGGCTACCTCTATTCTCACCCCGTATGAAAATAGCGCAGGCGAGTCTTTTGGCTATTCTCACCCGGTGTGCGTTCATCGTTATAGCCTAGGCCAACCAGTAGTGTAGCGTTCACCCTGAACCACAGAATTCTACACTGTGATAACAGAATTGTAGAATTTTGTGCCATGAACAAACATTCCATTACCTCTATGTTAGCCTAAAAGCGTGCAATTTTGTCTGTGGGCAGTGGAACTGGAGAGAGAAAGAGAGAGGGAGGAGTAGCGCGAAAACTTCCGGGCAAAACAAAATGGCGACCCGCGTAGTTTGGCTCGATTCGAAAAGTTAAGTAGCCGTAGCATCTTTGTAGACGATCAAATTAATTTACTTTTGTGTTTTAACATCATTTTTTAACTTTGTTGTGGTCAGTTTGATCGACCACACCGATAGACAGAATTCAAAAAGAGTGAGAGAGGGGGGAGGAGTAGATCTTGCGAGAGCGAGAACTTCTGGGGAAAACAAAATGGCGACCCGCGTAGTTCGGCTCGATTCGAAAAGTGAAATAGCCATAGCTTCTTTGAAGACGATCAAATTAGCTTACCTTTGTGCTATAACGTCATTTTTTTCTTTGCTTTTATCAATTTGATCATCCACACCGATAGATAGTATTCCTAAATTGGGAAAAACAGGTCTTGTTTCACACCGGGTGAGAATAGCCAACGTTGGCAAGTCTCACCCGGGGTGAGAGGTCGATCATATTTTTATTCTCACCCTGGATGAGGATAGCCGCTTCCTTTTAAAAAAATCATAACTTTACTCAGAATTGTTCAATTGCTCTGACCTTTTCACATACATACGAAGTGACTAGCCGTACTTACTAGCCTGAGAGCTAGACTGCCAGTCTAGCCGTACTTAGATCCAGGTTTGGCCCTATTGACTCAAACCTGTCAGTACACAGAGTGTCATGGTAAAACAAACATATGGGTCGCCACCACTCGAAGAACGAGCGACGCTTCTGTCACAAGTCCATGTTGACGTCCATTTGTTACTTTGTTACGGACTGGGTAAACAGTCACAGTGACCATCCTTCTCACTTACGATTTGTGTATGCGTTCTGGGCGGGGCTTATGGGTTATGAGGGATCTCACGCTTCCCTCACCAGCAGCTGGAAATTGGTACCTATTGGTCAACAGTGGGAGGGGCCTACTCAACATGATCGGTTGGAGGGACTACCTAACAACAACGACAGGTGATTAGATTATGACGGCTCGCCCACAACGCCAGGGGCCAATGCACAATTAATGACAAAACGTAATGGAGTCACTATGGTGGCCGTCAAAGACAGGTGTTATTGCTTAGTGTGATAGGGGTTGTGTGTTAAAATATGGTGGCCGCGGCCACGTTGGACAGGTGCCCGTTTTACACAGTTAAATTATATAGAAAAAACGCAAGGGGGGAAATGGAAAGTGGCCGTTTGTACAGGTGGCCGTCAGGGCAGGTTGGACTGTTTTTCAAGGGAGGAGTGGGGATATTCTGTTAAAACAGGTTTCCGTTAAGGCAGGTTCGACTGTATATTCATTTGATCAGCATGTGGAATACTCCTACATCATTGCAGACAGGTTTAATTTGTATTATTATTGGAAGTTATTTGGAGAAATTTTCATGTTAAAAAGATCCCATAAAAAAATAAGGACATCATCACAGAGTCGTTCTGAAATATAATGTCAGAGTCGTATATATGAGTCAGATTTGAAAACTGATTTTAGGGTTTTGGGAGTGAATGGAGGAAGGCCAGCCTAGGCATTGCTGGTTACTGTTAGATGATTTTTAAAGTTTAATATGTGTGTTTATTACTGTAGGTCTGTATTGCTTTGTTTCACAGGTTATGACTGATTGAGCTTTGAGACAAGAAAAGCAGTCATGGCTCCTAACAATCCCCTGACTGTATGGGGAAATGAGAAGACGATGAATCTAAACCCTTTGATCCTCACAAACATTCAGTCATCACCATACTTCAAAGTGCAGCTCTTTGAATTGAAGACATTTCATGAAGTTGTGGATGAAATCTATTACAAAGTGAGTGATTTTGTGGAAATGATTTTGAAAAATTAATTGTGGTCCAGTTGATCATAAAATATGTCATATCCTGTTCTGTAATCCTATCATTGCTGCTGTCGCAAATTAAATGAGTACTTCCTTTTGACTGGGTTGGGTGAACACTTGCGTTACTCATTTCTCTTGTGACATTACGTTGTGGTGATAGAAATGTGTGAGAAAATATATCTTTAACAAGGGACTTTTATTATTGTGATGGAATTGTTACACTATACACAAAACTAAGGATCTTGAAAGTTAAGAAAGAAACACTTCGAAGCTCTGAAAATTCTTACCTGTTCAGGGTTATAAAGAAAACTAATAAAGTGAATTATAGTGTATCTCATGACATTTGCTTAAATATTTTGTAGTAATTGCGAGCTGCATATTTCTATAAAGTGAAAATGAAACTTTTAAATGCTCAAACGGTGAAAAATCTCTTCTGTGCTAGAATTGGTTTCATTGGCCATAGTAGAATCTAAGTCATCTTAATCTTTTTTTCCTCCATTTTGCTTAGAAATATTCTCCTGTGGTGATGCATTAGTCATCGTCAGATATTGACAGACAAATGATTAAATTTATACTTCAGTGAAATACAGTTTGAAGTTTACAAAAAAGACTACGCATATCGAACTCGCAGGAATGAGAAAAGATAGATATTGTACGTTTCCCTTGAAATGTTATTATAGCCTTAATATGTATGTGAAACTTAAGAAAAGATGATGTTTAATTATTTTATGTTTGGTTCCTATTGCCAGGTTGAACATCTAGAACCATGGGAGAAGGGAAGCAGAAAGACGGCAGGGCAGACAGGCATGTGTGGTGGGGTAAGTTGTGGCAAAGCTTTTATCCAGCAGAACTTTCTCTTTCTCTATATGACATCAAACCAATATTCTGTGTGGCACAAGTGGGGCTTTTATTCCCCTGCTGTTTATGTGTGTGTGGCAGATTAGACAAAAGTTGGGTGAACTTGAAAGAAAATTACACCAATGTCTCTGTTCTTACTAATGCAAGTTCTATGTAGTTGACTTTACAATTTGTTATTTCCTCAAAAGACCCTTCAATTTTCTGAAACATTACCTTCCTTGAAAGCATTACAAAGAAGTGCTTTACTTTATGCCATTTTTATGCAATATTCCATTTGACTTGACTCAGTGACTCACTTACTGACAAGATCTTTGTAAAGCTCAGTAAGGTACCCAATTCTCTTGTGGATGCAGTGCTTTATTTTAGGTGAGAGATGTTTTTGGAATATGTAGAAAAGGGGGGGGGGGGGGATGTGTGCATTGTGTTCAGCACAATCTGTCAACTCTGCATAAATTGTCAATAATGCTTGTTTTGGTTTTGTTTTTTTTTTGTTTGAGGTGAGGGGGGGGGGTTTATTATCTGCACTTTTCAAACTGTTTCATGGTATTTTTGTCTCTTTTCACAGTACAAATGTTTTGTTTCAGGTGAGAGGTGTTGGGGCAGGGGGCATTGTGTCCAGTGCTTACTGTCTTCTCTACAAATTGTTCACCTTGAAGCTGACCAAGAAACAGGTGAATAACCTGATCACACATCGTGACTCACCCTACATAAGAGGACTAGGCTTCATGTACATCAGGTAGGTCTGCCATAGGCTATGTGAGCAGCATGACTTGGCAGGACTTCAAAACTACAAACAAATAAATACCAGACCCAGCAACAAAATATCTGTGTGCGGTGTAATTAAGCAGGAGCTCTGAACAATATACAAAGAAAATCCAGTCTCGACATCAGAATATCTGTGTGCTGTGTAATAAAGCAGGATCACCACTTACGGCCTTTTTAATCGGCTGTCAGCACTAAGGATGTTAATGTACTATTTTTTTAAAAAGACAACGTGGAGCACAGTATTTCAGTATCATGAACTAATCATTTTTTGACAGTACCTTTTCCCCAGTACTGTATAGAAAATAAGAGAGGGCTGTATACCAGGTATATTGCTTGTACCCACCTTTTTCAGAATGTTTCTTGTACAGTATTGGTGGAATGATATTCTTTGACTTTGATATTTTTCTGTCTTCCTGTAGGTCTTGCCACTCTCTATAAAAATACAACAAACAGTGAGGGCAAGCCACAGTATGTTTATCTTCCTCTGGGTCTTGCCGGCATCTATAATGACACACGAATGTTGTGCTTCCAAGTGTTTCAAGTGTGCATTTTTGTTTTTGGCCCACATTAGAACTTGTGCTAGGATTTTATATTACATGATTTGTTGGATTTTCCCATTTGTAAAGAGTAGCGGTTTGTCTCTCACTGTTGACCTTCTATTTCTTTTGGAGAAACCATAACAATTGTGACTTGTCTATTGTACAGATACACGCAACAACCTCAAGATCTCTGGGACTGGTATGATGGCTATTTGGATGATGATGAGGTATGTGAATACATCCCAGACAGACACACAAAAACACACACGCAACATGACCCGCCCCAGTGCTGACTCGTGCACCAGTTAGCCAGCTATGCAGTCGATCCAAGTGAAGAAACTTGTTGTTGTTGTCTCTCGAAATCATCCAACTTTCCCTTTTTTGAACTATGGAATAGAACACAGAGTTCTGCTGTGATTTGTGTGGTAATTTTTTAGATAGTGCATTCTTTAGGGAATTTAATTTAACATGATTTGTTTATGTTTGGAATAGGGTAGTTAAAAATGGAAAAATAAATTGTCCCAGGGCCAAAGTTCTGAGAAGAAATTTAGAATTCTTTTGAGATTAGAACTGCTAGATTTCAGACTCACTATGCAAGACACAGGCACACATACACACATGCACACTACACATTACACATGAGAACCTCTCCCCCTCTTGGATGGTGAGCTGCTGTGTCGTGTTACAGCTCAGCTCATCCTGACATGGGTGAGTATTTCTGCATGAGTTGCAGCTTTGTCTTCCTCCTCACTCTCCTGTTTGTCCTTTGCCCTCTGATGCCTCAGCTGTCAGACATAGCACTCTGAACACGTTGGTGGTACTACCGTTGGAAAACTGTGTGGGACATTTGAATAAACATAAGGGCCTTGATGAACACTTATCTATCACTGGCAAAATTGAACATAGCTTTTTTAAAAGCGTGCGAGCAAAGGAATGAATGGGGAACCATGATCGCCGATGTCTGTCACAGAATTTGCACTTGATGATTGTGGCAAATCACAGATCTTTTTCTTTGCCTCCCCTTGCTAGAAAAATCACTGATGATATTTGTCCATGTGCTCAGAAGTAAAGAGTGCTGGAATAACAACAATAATGCTAATGATAATGAAAATTAATTGATGCAGCACAGATCCCTATTATAAAATAAGCTCTTTGTGCTTTACAATGTTCTTGAACCGCGACAGAGCCTTAAATACTCCCAGACATTGTCATCTCCTTGCAAGTTGTTGGAGATCTATCTGGGAATTATAGTCTGTTTGATTCAAAGTGCTATGTCGTCTTCTTCTATGGTTTATGCTTATCTTGATTTGTTAATGTTTAGACAGGATGTATGAGAGAGATCGTGACAAATTTGGTAGTACAAATTTAGCAGTGGTTTATTTCTCTAAAGATGTAAACACTAATACACACTATGTTTATCGAGATAGTTTATCGATCTGATTCTTATTTCAGTGAGGTTAAGATGGTTTTGTATTTATAAAAGTATTGGTCTAGATGTTTAGGCTGTACATATACATGCTTTTGATCACTGATCTATCAGTCTGTCAATGCAGTTTGTAAGGTTAGGTTGTTATGATGATACTGAGAGCTTTACCTTTCCCCCTAATGCCATAATAAATGTGCTGTTTTGTATGTGCAGGGTCTTTGCCTTAGCCTGTGCAAGGATTAGGATTATCTCCCAGCAGCCTCCACGGCCTCTATCTCGGACGCCTCGACTTGAGGTTATAATTAAATCCTCAGGGGCCCAAGAAGGGGGCACTTTTTTTCCTTTTTTTTTTTCTCCATGTGTTTAAGATGGCTGAGTTTAATAATTTTGTCCTTGAATGTTTACCAGTGGTGATTGATTGATCAAATAGTTGCTCTCCTCATTCTAAACTGCAGGATTTCCTTGTATCATGTCTGTAAACATCACACGTTGCCATGGATACAATAACTTTGTTCTTGTACATGACAGTGATAGCTCACAGAACGATTCTTAATAGCTCGCTTAAAATAGTTCTCATTGGTTAAATCTTGCCTTATATATTGGGCGCTGCTCTCAGAGGGTGTATTATTGAGGAAAGGGGGGGGGGAGTTGGTGTTACTTCCTGTGGAATAAAAGGGGGGGATGTTGTGGATGGAGGCAAAAATCCAAATTGCGCTCAAAACAGTTACATTTCTCCATTCAGTGTAGGATGTCATTGCTTTTCGATGTCAGATGTTGAGTATGAAGCATGAAGTTCCTTTTTTGATTAAGCCATTTTTACTTGTGATCAGAAGTATGCCTTGTGATATTTGTCGGCAATGTTCATTTTCAACTTTATGTTTCTAGGGGTATAAGGTTTTTACCCTATGGTTCTTCTATTTCACTTGTTTCTTTGAACAGCTGTAAAGTTTTAGCTGATTGAGAGTTGTCTAACCAGTTTTTGTTTTTCTTTCTTCTCTCTGGTTGTTGTGTGCAGGAGCTGGACGTGAAAGCGGGAGGCGGTCACTTCATGACCATCGGCGAGATGTTGCGTCAGTGGCTGGTCAAACTGGAGTGGTACTCTACCCTCTTCCCACGCATACCCGTGCCTGTACAGGTCAGTCTGATTAAGTCGGCTCAAATAGCTGTTGTAATTTTTAGCCCAGCTTTTCCCCTCTTTACCATCAGTTTTAAAAGAACTGTATTTTTAAACCGCTGTGATTTTGCAGTCATTCACGTCCACGAAATCAGGAGCATTGTTTCAGAGCATGACAAAGAATGTCTGAAAGCTAAAAGAATTAATTATGTTATCATAGATTTTAATCTTTAGTCAGATGGTAAACATTTGGAGTCAAAATTGTAAAAGTCAGGTACCGGTACAACATTTTTCATTAGTGGATGTCATCAAATCAGTGCCACTTGGCATGTATCCCTTTATCTCAATTTCATAATGCTGTTCTTTAGAAACACTTATGAATGAGCTATTGTACAGGACCACAACAACTGCACCTGTGAGGATATATATTGTAATAAGAAAATAATTTGAAAATTCAAATCAATAGGGAATCAAAACATATGTAACAAGAAGCAAAGTTCAATTTACATTGGGTTAACAACTCTTTATGTCCTGGTTTCGACAATGGTAGGCCACATACTCTTTGAACTTGTTTGAGCTGCTTACTATATATTTACTGAATGCACCTGGTACCCGGACCCTGTGCGTTGGCAGGACAGGCATTATCTCCAAAGTTTTCAGGTAGACGCTATGGGAAGGGGCAAACGAGCGTAAGACCCACTTGTTTCATTTCATTACACCTCAAAAATTTTCCGACTGCTGTGGTTGTTGGGCTTTAAAAAAAAGCCGAGGCTTGAATGAGTTAACCCTTACAGTGTCAGTAAGACATTATCTTTATCTATGTTTCTCAGTGGCAATTTTGATAAAGGCATCATTTGTTTGCTTTTTATTTTGTCAAATGATATAGGTGATATAGCTATTTAATGTATGCTCAGAAATGATAGAAGATTCAGGGTGTCCAGTAAAGTCGCAAAAAAAGTCGTAAATTCAGCGCCCTGGCCGCAAAGGTCGTAAATGGTAGTAAATACGCCGTGAAGGTAGTAAACATTTGATAAACGGTCGTAAATTAATCTGCGTACGGAGTGATGAAGCCAAAACATGCTTAATTGAACCCTAGCCGCAGTACATGACTCTGTTTTTGCCGGTCGCGATTGTGATATGATAATATTCGTTCACCTTTTCCTCGTTTGAGAGTATTTTTCACGCAAAATGGCGGCTATGGTGGCAGGCGAAAGTGTGCGTGACACCGAGGCTCGATCGGGAAAATCATGATCTACTTTCGCTTTCAGAAATTAGCCGGCGATGGACTGATAACTAACGTAACATTTGTGACATGCAGGTTGTGCAGTATGAATATATAGATCTATATCTAAACGCTGTGCTGCAGCGCAAATAAAATTTAATCAGTACTCGGACTCGTCTCTGTGCTGTCACATGTGGGGGGGGGGAGAGAAAAGAAAGTATAAGCGTCGTCTGATTTTTAGATTGTCGGGCTCGCCATCGTGACCGGTCAATGAACCTGTGCACGTGAGCACAGCGTTTGTTGTTGGGGTCACCAAAGTTCATTCAAAGTCCCCCCCCCCCCCCCCAGTTCTTACAACTCTCTCACTTCATGGGTCTACTGGGGCCATTCAAGTTAGAGTTTGAGCAATAATTTTTGCCTTTCATGTTCATAATATTATGAGTCATGACACCCAGATTGGTTCTTCACAGTCGAAATTCTTGTTCAAGGCCCTTCCGAACGCTCAAAGCAGGATTCATTTTTTAATATATAATAATGAGAGGAAAGTTTATAACACACTGAAATACTTAGGCTAGTCAAACAAGACCCCAGTGCAACACTGACATGTTGTTGACTGGGTATATTTTATGTGTGTGTGTGTTGTTATGTAACTTGCCCCTGGAAAATGGATGACCCCCTGGAAAACTGAGAAGCTGGTTTGGCAGTCACCCTGTGTGCACACATTAGGTCTAAATCTACCCCCCCCCCCCCCAACCAGTGCTACTGACTGAAGTGTCTTTAGGCCATTCCCAAAGGGGGGGGGGGTGCTCTTATGCACAGTAGAATTGTAAGTATGGGCTGATTTATCAATGTCCTGCTTATACTGTGCCGTAACAACATAGGGGGAACTGCTGCTTTTTCTTCTCATCCTTACTATCGTTATTTTTCCTCTATTTCTTATGTATGTTTGTCACTCTTGTGACCCACTATTTCCGGGGTGCCTTGATAGTCGAAGCAGACTTTGTGCTGTTGAGGCTAGAAAGGTGAGCAGAGTAAGCTTGGTTGCCCGTTTAGATTTTTCTGTTGACATCCACCCCTTGTCACTCGTGCAGTTGCGAGCGCTGTAAAAACATTACTAAACAGTAAAACTAAAACTAAATCTAGTGGTGAGCAAGCTTGCGATAGTCTGTCTATCCTCCATTTTGTTGACTGGAGGTTGTTGCGTGTTATTTTCGTTCTATATATTATGTAATGATAATACATTGTATATGTTATTGATGGCACAAATGAACTCCCTTTTTCAAGCTGGTGTGGGGCTTTCTTTGCTGGGTAGTAAATTTTTTTTTCAGCAAATATTGCTGGACACCCTGAAGATTTCTCCCATGTAATAGGTTCCAAAAATGGGGGGAGGATGGGTTTTTGGTACCTCTATTACCTGAGACTTGCTGTTGGAACCAAATCTGCATTGACATTCATGTGGGAAAACATTGTTATGGCCCATTTCAGAAAGACATTGACATGAAGATGAGGTCAAGGCCGGTGGCTGCAGGTTTCCCCGAGTATGCAGAACAGGAAGTTGGAGCTGATGAGCCGGAACACATCCCTGATGACGAACTATCGTTTGGAGAGGCAGAGCGAGCAGCTCTGTCCCAACGAGGGTAAATACATAGAAAGCAGATAATTCCACTTTGAGAAATTGTTTTAATAATGGCATATATACTTATTGAAATACACACACACACATTCTTCCACACACGCTGTTTTTGGTGGCAACTGTGCAGGGCTCTGTGTCAGAGCTGTTTTGGAGTATATTTTTTTTTCAGTATTCTCAACACGATTTGTTCATATGAGCAAAGCACTGTTATTCCTTTTCCTAATTATGTTTTTTATATTTATTGGCGATGTAAAGGACCAACAAGCATTATTCAAAATAAAAATCTGTAAAGAATGTGTTTACATTTTTTAGTCGTACAGACAAAGGAAAATGATATGTACTATGTTGTGGAATGAAATATTTCTTTTTCAGTATTTTCAAAACAATTTGTTCATATTATGAGTAAAGCACTGTTACTCTTTTTCTTAACTTTTTAAATATGTATATTGGCGATTTTAAGGAACAACAAACATTTTTCTCAATAAAAATCTGTAAATAATATGTGTATGGACAAAGGAAGAAAGGAAAATAAGATATACAATATTGTGGAATGAAACATTTCAGAAGAGGCAGCGCCAGCAACGGCCGACGTGAGGACTCCCATAACGGCAGCAGCACGTCGCGCAGGTCTCCCCCACCACGGCGAGGCTCTCCCCCAGTGCGACGGCCTTCCCCCCCTGGAGCCCGGCGGTCGCCACGGCGATCGCCCCCAAGGAGGTCTGGCTCCCCTCGACATAGCCCCTACTCCAGGTGTGTGGAGTATGTGTGTGTGTGTTTGTGTTTTACTGTCTGATCTAGATTGTATTCCATATTTGAGATTTGGCTCCCTTGACATAACCCCTATATGAGTTGTATTGCAAATGTGTGAGTGTTTGGGATGGGGGTATGTTTTACTGTCTGTCTGATCAAGATTGTATTCCTTATATATCATAGCTGCCACTTTTCCGCTAAATAGCAGAAACTCCGCTTCATCTAGCTTTTCCCGCTACTTTCCTCCATCTCCGCCGGACCACTCTCGGTCACAAATTGCGAAACTTTTTTTTTACTTGCGGAGAACACCGAACCAGGAGAGAGAGGAAAACGCGGCTTACTCAGGTCCGCACGTAGCTTTCTACTTATCCATTCTTCTGTGCCTGGCACTAGTTTCACATTGTTTATTATGGAGTGACAGTGTCGATCGAGCATCGGGACGATGGCACGCCAAGTTGTCCTTGAAAGCGGCAGAAATTCGAGAGAGATTGATGCTGAATGCAAAAATAAAAGGAGCTGAAATGAGAAAGAAGCAGATGGTGTGTGACTTGAAAAGTTCATTAGAAAATTGAACAAGCCGCTTGCTGCACTTTGCGTTTGGTGCGATAAAGAAATCGCTCAGTACAGTGGCAAAGGTGTTGCCTCCTGGATCCAATACTGCTCTACATCGATGCACAAGTTTAAAGTGAAAGAAACTTTTTAATGAGACACCAGCTGGCAACAAAGACTGGATTTTTTGTCACCAAACTGTGTCAAATTGTGCATGTTAGTCTACTTACTGTCTTGGGGGGGGGGTTCAAATACATTTAAATTCAGTAGCCTATAGTTAACAAATATGACAGTTTTCCCTTCCAAAACCATAGGCTAGATGTTCCAATAAATTGCCTCTGGATCTCACTGGTTTTACTCCGGCCTTCGGAAAGAGCTCGTACGCCTTCGCGTGAATTTCCTCCTTTTTTGTATTTCCTGAGTGGCAGCTATGATATATGTAAGAGCCCTGGTTCCCTGGACATAACCCCTACATGAGGTGTATTGTTAATATGTGAGTGTCGAGGGATGGGGGAATGTTTTACTGTCTGTCTGACCTAGATTGTATTTCACATACAGTGTAGCATACATATAGTTTGTTTGTTTAAAGGAAGCACATCAACAGAATAGTGGTCATTTAATGCTGGGGGAAAAAAAAAAGTAAGATGGACGGACAGAATGATAGAAGGAAAGAAAAGAAGTAGGACCTACCAGTGGCGCTTCCAACCACCTAGACACATAGAGCAAACATGTACATATAACAAAACACAGTGAACGGATTTTTAGGCCCCTGAATGTTTTCTGTTTATACAATTTAGGCCTGTATGTATTCTTTGCATTTGAAACATGCATTATTATGAAATTTGTACACAGTTTCTTCATTTTGCTGATTTCGCTATTTGCTTGCTTGACTGTATGAGATGTGGCTCCTTTTGCCCTAACCTTACTGCTCATATGACCTTTTGCAGTTGCGAGCGCTGTAAAACCTCATACTAAACTAACTAACCTTATTGCAGGTGGTTTGTGAATATATGTGTGTGTTTGTTGGGGGCAGGGGATGTGTGTTTTACTGTCTCGCTGATCTAAATGACTGTTTTTTGTGTCGATGTGCTTCTCATTACTTAGACAGACTAGCTCCAGGTCTATGTGGAGGTCTAGATGGTTGTCTGTCTTAGAAAAAGAAACATTGGTTCCGCTCTTACTTTCGATGAGTTATTTCTGTGTTTTTTCTTCTCCTCCTCTCCCCACACACAATGCCAGTGCAGAGTACTTGTACGTATACTTAATGTTCTTGTCCCGCCGTCCTCAGATCTGGTGATGATTTCTCCCGAGAGCTAGAGCGCGAGCGTGACCGACAGCGTAAAGAAAAAGAGGATTACAAATCCAGCAAAAGTGACAAACGGGGATCTCACTCGAAGGAGAAGGACAGGAAACGATCTCGCTCACGCTCACATGACCGCAAGAGGTCAAGGTCAAGGGAGAGGAAGAGATCGCGATCTCGTGACAGAGAGCGCCGTAGGTCACGCAGTAAAGACAGGAAGGAACATTCCTCCAAACACAAGGAGCGAAGGAAGGAAGAGAAAAAGAAAAGCAAACACAAAGATAAAGACCGAGAGAGGAGACATTGAATTTTGCCACAAAGTTTTCCCTGTCTGTGAGTTTGATGATGACTGAGTGAGAGAGTGTTTGGGGTGTTGATGGTTCCTTTGTGAAGAAGATGTGGACTTTTTTGTGTTAATGCCTTGTTTAAAACAGCAGAATCTTTGTAATTGACGAGTCTTAATGTTACACTGCAATGTGTAGCTAGATCTTATCTCTGTGGAAGGAGGGGGGGGGGGGGGGGGCAAAGTTTTAATAGACAACATGAATGTTTTGTTTTAAAAGTTTGGAAAAATGTTGTGTTTACTGATGACCATGTGTAGTTAGTGGCTCCTTATAAAAATGTGAAAGGTGTATGGGTCTTTTCTGCTACAGGTGGGTGTCTGTGGTGTAGCAGTTTGGCACTTCGCTGTCATATGCAGGAAACCTGAGTTCGATTGTGAAGTGGGGAGAAATTTTTATTTAATATTGTGGTCTCTCAGCTCAGGTTGGACCTGATAGGCAGGGTGAGAAGGCTGCCTCCTAAATGAGCTAACTTGCGTTGATGGGGTCATAAAAACACATTAAAAAAGGGGTTCTGGTTTTTGTTGTCACTGTCCGATTTACCTTTGACATGAATATGTGCCATTGGTGGAGACAAATACAAACAAAAATGCTTGATGCCTCGTTTTTTACTCGCCTTTTGTTTTGTTTTTAATTCCTCCTTTATTGCCACCACAATAGTCGTGAAGAAAACAATTTTTTCACATTAGTAGGTAAAACAAAGTCAATAGTGGGTTGTTAGCATGTTGTCAGCTCTAACAGAACTTTATTGGGTTTTACGTCTGTCCCTTGTGCATTCCCTGTCTATTGCATGAGGCGTCCTTCACATTTGTCACTTACGCAAAATTGTTTTAAGCTGTTGGAATGTGAATTTGATAAAACAATATTTGATAAATGTATTGAAATTCGGATAGTGTTTTAATCTTTTATGCTGGTCAGTGTAGAAAAAATTGTGGGGGGAGTTACCATGGACCAAGAATTCCGTTGTAATCCCGATTGTGGACGGTTTTGCTTCTTTGACTATCTCTCTACTTTTCTACTGACCGGTTCTTCTTTGCAGGCACTTCACAGTAGACCATGAAGCTCATGCTTTTTTTTTTTTTACAATTAAATTTAGGTTGGGGAAATGGGTCTATGTTTTTTCTTTTAGATGATGTGTGATTTTATTCTCATTATAATTGTAGATTTGTCTTGTGCTTTGTGCCTCTGTGTCTGTGGAGAAGCTGATCTAAGTCAAAGAGGGGGTCTCTCATGATGTGTTTTTCCTGCTATGAAGTGGAGGACACAAAGTGGCATGTGAGGTATGTTTGTTAACTCACAGATCCCTGGCCCATATAAAATTGCAGTGGTCTCTCCATGCAGGTCATTTTCACAATTAAAAATTCTCAGGAATGTAAATATCTAGCTACTGGCTTAATTTTTGGCTCAGATATTATGATACGTTTCTTCTCTTTGTAGTACTTCTAATTTGACTAAATTATCCGTAAAACTGTTTTCCCGAACAGAATTTTTGATACTTCACTATTTTCAATTTTAGAGAACATTTCTGCTCACTGAAGGTGAAGGAAAATAACATCAAAAACGATTTATTGTAACGCAAAAATGTGAAGACTAGATCTAGATATATCTATATTTTCCCTAAATCTTATGATTAATACGATCCTGCCTTTCCAAGTTATCACTCGGCCTTAGATCTAATATTTTAAAGAATAAGAAGTGGTTGTGCCTCAAGTAGGTCACCCAAGTGAAAACTACTTCCATATTTTGGAAAGCTTCCTTTCCGTTTAGGATAATTCTAATTCTACTAAAGCTTTGTTAAAAAATTAAATTGCATTTGAGTGGTTCTCTCTCGAAAGAAAAAAAGAAGGAAATCCTGATCCCCTCTGTGATCAGGATCAGGGTTCTCTGCCCTGCCAACATTCCCACCTATGTTGGCGACCAGGGCTCAGTGAGTTAATCATCATAAGGATATTGGACAATTGAGCGAGTACCATATATTTTTATAGTCTGATCTCATCAGGTTTGGAAGTGTGATGGTGGCGACGGTTGACAGAAGTGAGTGCTGAAGGTCTACATTTACTTTTAGACCAAAGTTTTTTTACCGGTTATTACCCAAAAAGATATCATCTTCGTTTCTTGTGGTTGTCTGGCTGTTGTTCTGTCACATTTATATTTCTTGACTCTTGTACCACTTGCCGTTTGAATTGAAATCTAGCACTGGCAATTATTTAAAAAACATGTTTTGTTGAAAATTGGAAAAAAACATATATATTTTAAGCTATTGGTTAACTTCTTTTCAAATTAATTGTCCAATCTCAATAATGTTTGTATCTGTTGTTTGATAGATATTGATACTAAGTAAAGACATGTGGGCATTTTCACTTAGATTGGGTCCTGAAAAAGGTTGATTCGATCCAGATTCCTTTACTATGCTTTTTTTTTTTCGTTCTTGGATTATGAAACAGCAGAATAATAGAACATTTTTTGTATGTACATGTCATCTGAATTGTGTTTTCAGCTGTTGTTTCTTCATTCAAAAATAAATCACATGAAAGTATTCCTGAATAAATATCGACTTGTTCACTACCATTATCACTACTGCTGTTATTATTTTAGAAAATTTTGTTGTGACATAACCCCTTCCTGGCATCATGGTGAAGGAGTTGTGAAAAACTGGAAAAGTTGTCAGATGATTGGTGATGTAGGTCATTCTCTGAACTCTAAGGGGGTGGTGCGGAGGGTTTCAATGTCAACAAAGGGTCATATCAGGCTATGTGTTGACATGATTCATATCGTCGGGTGAAGTTTGAAGAGAGTTCTCCCATTTCCCACTCCCAGACATAGATTTGGACAGAGGTATCTCTACTCTGTAAGTGACTGGTTGGAACCAGTGGACTGAACTATCACCATACATGATATGTCTATGTTATACTTATAATCACTGGCAGAATTCCATACAGACGTTAGTCATTTTTGGCGGCCAATGAGATGCATAGGTATGCAATACTGGCAGCGTAATATTGCATCGACGTTTGTCATTTTTGGCGGCCTATGAGTTACGTCTGTGTGCAGTACTGCCAGCGTAATGCTCTCCTGTCCTCTACCTCCATGATGTGTCAACAGTTGTCCTTCTTGCCCAAGGACACTACACTTACATGATACATCTTATATTATCGGTGGTCCGTTAGCTCAGCTGGTATTGTACTGGACTATGGTGTCGATGATCCTGGCTGGAATTCCCAAAGAGGTGTTCTTTGAATTTTTAGGAAGGTTATCAAGTTATCTCCAGTGGGTGGTTGGTGGATGCTCTGGTGTGGTTTTCTTCTTGTTTCCTATCAAACAAACATCTATTGTCTTTATCTGCCCTCCTTTTTTATGTTCCTTACTCTCTTGTAACACCTCTAATCTTCGGCACTCATTTGACCTTATTGTGTTGCAAGTGCCGTAAAACTAAAACTCCTACTAAAACTAAAACACGTCATCTCCCTGCCTATTTGGCTCAGTTCTACTGGAGATGGATGTCAAAGTTCGGAAGTCCTGCCTTTTAATACTTTTATTACTTAAAAAAAACCTTAACATTGTGTTAATAAAAGGTCATTACACTGGTACAATATTTGCCAGTACCATAATCTTTACCCACCACTGCTTATGATCTCGATTCGCCAAGATCCTACTGTTTTAATTTATCAAAGTTTCTATTGTGGTGTAGAACATAATATCTGAAGGATGGATGGATTCAGATTGAAAGACCTGTTTCCTCACTCAAAGTACAGCCTCTTATTTACCTTTTTAACAATATTGCTTACGTTTGTGAAATCCCCCCCTGAAAAATACCACATTGTAGGCCCTACACTGCAAAGCAACTTGTTGCTCATGTTGGTATAACGAACACTCAGACTACAAAATTAAAGGTCAGGCCTGATGACTTCATTATATCTAAGTTCTACTCTGTATATATAGGTAATGACTTGACAAGACTTCAGTCAGCAGATTTGAGGCTAAAACTTAAAACAGCACCTGAACATGGAAGGCTGGTGCCTCTAACAATAAATTATTGATACTGATGGTCAGGAGGTTTCTAAGTAGGGATGTTATTCAGTCGAGCAGATCTATAAGTATAACCAGCATCTGTGGTGTAGTTGTTAGGCACTTTGCTTTTGCGTTCAGGAGACCTGAGTTCGAATCCCGAGAGAGGAGAATTTTTATAAAGCACGTCGATCTTTCTGCTGGGATGCTGTATTCCCCCCCCCTCTCAGTGTGGATTGGTCCCGATAGGTAGGCCGAAGCCTGCTTCCTAGATGATTTAACTTGTGTTGATGGGGGCGTTTAAAACGCCTTCATAAAAACAAACAAACAGAAGAAGAAGAAGAAGTGGATCTGTCTCTGTCCGTCTACTGGGATGCTATTGCCTACACTACACAGGTTGACACTGACAAGCTGGGTGGAAGGAAGCAGTTTGTCTCATAAATCTTGACTCTAAATCTCAAGTAGACTTGCCACATGGGCTAAAGACGTTATTGTTATTCGACTCGAAATTGAATTGTAGCAAAGTGGAGGTAAACTGAAAAAAGTGAAAGCTTCTCACTCAAGGTATCAGCCTCACAGGGTTCCTACAATTTAACTTTGTCCTTCCAGCCTCACATCTCCGATTCTCATAACGGCCCAAAATTATCTCAGTAGGCATCATGCTTGGCTGTGATGTAGAAGACCAAGGTTCAGATCCCCAAAAGGACGTTCTTGAACTTGGTTAGTTAACACTTTGCCACCTTATCTTGCTTAACGGCTATGTTTACCACCCAGTTTCTTCTAATTTTCCCCAAAATGCCTTTGCCTTTGATGGCAAGAGTTTTTACTATATGAATGAGCCTTGTGGCGGCAAAGTGTAAAAGGAGTTTTCAAGGCTCTCCACTTACATGGCTCAGTTCTGTCAGTGATGGATGTGAAATTAGTAGTGGCACTAGTAGGTCCAAACTGTCAAATAAGATAAGATACGATGGCATATTATTTCATAAGATTTTATTGATCTCCACAAAGATGAATTTGCTGCAGGATGGTGGTAAATGAAAATGCATCTATGCACATACACACACACTCGTCAACACACACATACACACATTTTCTCTCTCTCTCTCCCTCTCCCCCCCCCCCCCCTCACTCATACACACAGATTTACATACAAAAACTGTCACAGACGCACACATACGAATAGAATAGTCGTTGGATGGACATGACTTAAAATAATGTTATTCTCCCTCACCTGACAATGACTGAATAGCTCGTATTGATGATAGTTTGCAATTCCCCCTTTTTATACATGCCTGTTTGTCATTAGTTCTCGTATTTTTAAGAAAAGAGTGTTTACTTTTAACATCATGTCTGATAATTCAAATTTACTGGCTGTTCGGTGTCAGTAATGATTGTCTTTTCTACTTTCACAATATTTCGATGTTGTAAAACTCAGTGAAAGAAAGGAATGAACTATTAAACAGTATAACACGGATAAATCGAACACAGAATACTCGAAATCATGCATTCCTATCAAACATCTATCGTCCTGATCTCTCCCTTTTTTTGTGTGTTTGTTACTCTCTTGTAACAGCTCTAATCTTCGGCACTTATATGACCTTTTTGTGTTGCAAATGCCGTAAAACTCTTACTAAAAAAAAAACTATGCCTGCGGTCCCGTTTTTTCTCTCTCTTCTTTATTTTTGTAAGATATCCCTCGAACTACTGAGGTCAGTCCCGACGAATTAAAGCTATCCGTGTTATATTGTATATTGATGTTGTAAAACTCAGTGAAAGAAAGGAGTGAACATATATCTTTTCCTGCTTTCCCTATAACTATAACTATAATATACCAAGAGTTATTGCTGTTGTTAAGAGATATTACCACCATAACATGAAATTCAGAAAGTAAAGTTGCCTTTGTGTACAAAAAATTTCCTTTATATTTCTGTCTATCTCAAATGATTTTAATTTTTTCAAAAACTAACTTTACAGTTGTTAAAAGGAACTTAATGGGTGGTTGGCCGGTGCTCCAGCGTGGTTTGCCCCTTCTTCCTTTCTACCAAACATCTAGACCTATCATCTTTATCTCTCCTTCTTCTCTTTTGTAACAACGCCTCTAATCTTTGGCGCTCGTATGACCTAATAATTGTGTTGCAAGTACCGTAAAACGCTTTCTATATTTAAAAAAAGGACGCTAAACCTATACAAATATATTATAATGAATTAAAAAAAAATCTGATTGAACTTGCCATTGTCTACTGTTGAGTCAAAATTATGGTCTTCTAAGCCAGAAATAAAGTCCAACTCAACAAATATTTAGTGTAAGGACAAAAAGTTAAAGTCAAGTTAGTACTGTGATAGGTTACCCCCCATGTAATGTTGAGATGAACACAATTCTGTCATTCTCCTCCAGCTCATAGTCCAGCTCTCCCTGGGGAGGAAACAGGTTGGCATTGCATAACTGGATGAAATGACAAACAATAAAATGATTAACCATGTGGTTCACAAACCGCTAAGTGGTAAAAGTACCAACAGTAGTAGTCAAATTAACTGCTCGTTCGATATACAACTAGACAATGTTTTTACTGATAAATATTAAATACTGGTTTATCAAATCAAAAGACAAGCACACCAATTCATAATTAATAATCACTTTGAGGGGGGAAATGCTAGATTAGTAGGGTCCTCTAAATTCCTGCACAAACATTGTAGAAAGCAGGACCAAAAAACACATGCGGATAACTTGAGAACGACAGATGTACGCCATTGGCCGATATTTATAGTAACAGCCATCTTGTTTGACGTCATTGAGGGATTCCCACTTTGTTGTCGTTCACGGTGGCAACACGATCGCAATGCACTATTGCAGTATTTTAAAAGCCTGTGGCCCATAGTGGGGTGGTGCGGCCACGGATCCCCCCCCCCCCCACCCCACCTGTAATGGGTACCTGACTTCGAGTTGGAGAAGTAAATGACTAATTTTTAAAAAAATTTTCTCAAAAAATATATAAGATAACTGAAAAAGCATGTGATGTTGTGACTTTGATGGATTTAAAAAACATTTTAAAAAAAAAACTGAGGCCGAACCAAGGCTCGAACCTGGACTTTCTGCTTTGGAGACAAGCGCACTAACCACTCAACCACCACGCCACTGTAAGCTACAGGCTTTAAAAAAATACTGCAATAGTGCTTTGTGGTCGTGTTGCCACCATGAACGACAACAAAGCGGGAATCCCTCAATGACATCAAACAAGATAGCTGTTACTACAAATATCGGCCAATGGCGTACATTTGTTGTTCTCAAGTTATCCGCATGTCGAAAAAAACCCACAGTTCATATATCAAAGATATCAATGAATTTTGAAAGGCACCATGAACATGGTCCAAGAACAGTATGGTACAAACTGAATATCGTTGGAGTAATTCACTCAACATACAGCATAACACGGATAGTTCGAATTTGGACCCAGCCTGGGTAGTTTGAGGGATCCATAGTTTGAGGGATCTCTTACAAAGATGAAGAAAAACACCCAAAAAACAGGACCGCAGGCACAGTTCGACGAATGCATGATTTCTATTCTTCTGACTTCGACCTATCTGTGTTCTACTGCATGTCAGGAATTTTTCTTAATTAGTTTTCTTCTCTTTTCCCCTCAGAAAAAGTTTTCTCATAGAGCTCAAGAAGTTCTAAAAGCTTAAGCCCAAAGAAAAGGTAGTTTTGTTGTGTGGTCTTATTTTCAAGATGCATGCGAGTAAAGAGAAGCTTGTTTTTTTGTGGTGTTTTTGTAAGTCTCTCATGAAAATTTCCTTGGGAATAATGAACTTACAAGGTTAGAATGTTTTCTTGCAATGGATGGATATACATGATTAGATAATTAAGAATTTCTTTGCAATGGATAGATTTACAGGACTAAATAATTTTCTTGCGTTAGATGGAGTTACATTAGATTAGATTAAATAATATCTTTATGAGGGACGGATCTACACAACAAGATAATTTCCGTGTAAATGGATGGACTTGCACCATCAGAAAATGCCCCCAAAAATTCAATAACCAAGGTTGACCATCGACCCAAATTATCTTTGCTGTTCAGCTTTCACAAATAGATGACCAGAACCACTCACCATAAGCTCCCAGTCTGCTTCGTTGATCAAGACAAGAATTCCAGGACGGCTGTGGATACAGGAAGACAAGAACTTGACAGACACAAAAAAGTAGAATGTTTGTGGTGAGAAGACCAAAGTCTTTTACCGTATGTTGCTACAAGACCGAAGTATTTAATTGTTCATGCATCAGACCCATCTATACCAACAGTATGAGCACAGTCCGCACCCAAAACGGACTCACTGACTGGTTCGACATGTCATCTGGAGTGAGATAAGGGTGTGTGTTATCACCGCTACTATTCATATAATATATATACATGGACAAAATTATAAAAGAAGCAAACCCCAACCCAATAGACCTAAATGAGATGCTGTTTGCAGATGATCAAGCCTGGCATATGAGAAAGAAGAGCAACTTCAAGAGCACAAAGACAGGCTGAATACACAAAGTGAAAAGCTCAACATGAAGATCAGTAAAAGCAAAACGGAGATGATGAAAATCAGCAGAACACCTGGCAACCATAACATCACCATCGACGGAAATCCGCTGAAACAAGTCAGCGAGTTCAAGTATCTTGGAAGCATCTTTTCTGAAGACGCACGTCTCAACAGAGTAATCGAAACGAGAGTACAAAAGGCTAACAGTGACAGCTACCTACTTGCCCCACTCCTCAAACATCTTAACATCCCCATTGAGACCAAAGCCAAGCTCATTAACTCTATCTTCATCCCCACCTTGACCTACCAGTGCCAGACATGGACCCTGACCAAAAATCTGGAACGTAAGATAACCATCTGCGAGATGAGATGTCTGAGGAACCAGTCAACAAAACCAGACAGGACATGGTCAGAAACAACAAGATCAGAGAAATGGTGGGAACAACACCTGTCCTCCACTACATTCGAAGGCAGAGAATCAGGTGGTTTGGACATCTCACACGTATGACACCTAACCAGCTTGCAAGTAAAGCCTACTACAAGAAAGTATCAGGGTATAAGGCAAGAGAAAGACCAAGAAAGACCTGGATCCAGGATGTGAAGGATACCCTGATAACACCCAGCCAGGGCATCAAACTTGCAAGAGACAGGAAGCTCTTTCTCCCCTCGACTCCCTAGAGGTGCAAGAGGACGGATAAAGTAAATACTAGAAGAAGACCAAAATTTTACACTGTTGTTTACTTGTGGACCAAAACTTTACACTGACAAGTCACGTTGGTTACTAGAAATAGATGACTAAAGCTTACACCATTCATTACTTACACTGTGTCTCCTTGCATGAAAAGTTCCGGCCGCTCTTGCACAAGGTTGTCTCTTATCCATGGCAAAAGGGTTCGAACTTGCCCTAAAAATAGAATCATGGAACTAGTGAGCAGCAAGAACGCCATCAATTGGAAATATGTAGGTGTGTGTGTGTGAGTTGTAAGTGTGTGAGTATATTGTAAGTGTGTGTTTGTGTGTGTGTGTGTGTGTGTGTGTGTGTGTGTGTGTGTGTGTGTGTGTGTGAGTATGTGTGTGTGCATGATTATGTGTCTGCATAAATGTGTATGTATATATATGTCTGTGTGCTTGTGTGTGAGTGAATGTTTGTGTGAGCTTGTATGCACACCAGTGTCTGAAAAAGTAAAGCTATGTACTAAAGTTGTGAGGACCCTCAATCAAAGAGAGAAAAAGGGACGAAGACAAGCTTACAACTTTAAAATAAAACATCAAGAGGTTTTAAAGGATGGAAAAAAATGATATAGCCCCCCGCCCCCTTTTTTTTCTTCATTTCCCTCCTTCTATCACTACAACTGTTCCCACTCATTAAATCTACAAAAAAACAGAATAGAAAAAAATAGTGCCCCGGATTACAGATGTTATGTAAAATCACTCGTTCTATCACAACATCTCCAAATTGACAGACTGTTACAACACCTGCAGTATAGTGAGATGAGACATTATAAACTTACATTTGTCTTTTTGTTCTGGTAGTTCCACGTTATGTTTCTTCACGTTCCCACACAGCAGTTCAGCTCCTCCGCTGGGGAAAGGGAAAAGTGAAGGAATCTTGTTCTTAGAGATCTATTTGTATCAAATCCAAATGTCTGTACTTACGTAAAATTAGAGCTGGTAATTGAGAAACTTGAAGCATCTACACAGAGTTTTATAGAACCTACAACACCTCAATGAGAGTGTGTTTGTTTGCGTTTCCAGCGTCAAATGGATTTTATCTGCATAATCAGATCAGACAGGGTTGATTAATGGTGATGCTAGTGCACTCCGCATCAAATTGACTTTGCTTTGTTTCATCAAGTTTTACCTGAAAGTCTGTATGGGCTTATTCGCAAATCAATATGGGCTTATTCGCAAATCAATATGGGCTTATATCGCAATCTATGTGCAAACAAAAGATCTTATGCCACAATTTGTTATATAATACTTTACGTTAGCCTTCTTATTAGCCGTTTTCATCAAATGTATCAAACATTATATCGAAAAGTGTTCAAGAAATTATAAATGTTTGATCCTGGAGAATTTAATTCAAATGGGCCAAAACGGTAGCTTCTGCCACTTATGAAGGAGGGAGGGGGAAGGGGGAGGAGGAGGGGTCACAGTCAGAGTACATTTTTAGTCTTTCTGACCAAAATGTAGTCTGAACAAACAGCACTTACAATTGTGTCTGATTTGCAATGAAAAAGCACATTTTGCTAGAAAAGACAAAACAAAACAAAGGTTAAAATGAATTAAAATAATCTGTTTTATAATTTGTAGACCTCATTCCAGTAAATGACTTAAAATACGAAAACAGACATAAGATCTTTGGAATCACAACTCAAACTCAACCAAGGATGAGAGTAAGTCTCATGTTTTGGCTTTTACCTAAAATATTAAGTCTGGCGACACATTCCTAATTCTCGTAGAGCGCAGCACATCATAGTCAATTAAAAATTACAATTATTGTTTGTTGCTCACTTTTGTCTCTCCGCATTAACAAAATTCTAACTCATATAATATTAATTTTCCAAAGCCCTGAAACTGCATGGCACTCCTGTTTGCCAGCGACCATATAAGAATATTTCTTTAACATCTTGATCTAGTGATTAAAAAGTTTCTTTATTTGGTTCCTATACAGAAGAGTGCACTTTAAACGAGTCCTGAAATTACGAAAAGTCTGTTGTAAAGACACTATTCTAAAACTAAAACTTTTTTTCTTTCTTTATCTTTGTAAATAAAATACTGCTATGCGCAATCAAACACGCGAGCCGGTTATAGCGGAATACTGTTGCTGCTGCCGTGCACAGCGCAGGCCAATGTATGTAAAACCTCGCCAGTAGAGAGACTTGGTGATCTAGGGAAACAAAGAATGGGAGAACCCACATGTGCCAACAATGAAGGCCGGGGCGAATGAGTGAGGAGGGAGCAGCATGTGCAGACAAGCAGAACGCATCGCGTGATACGCCAGCCTAGTCTAGATTACCCAGGCCTACCCTACCTTTCACTCTCACTTCTCCGATGCAGGGGACGGAGAGGTCAGGTGAGATAAAGAAATAAACAGAACACCAAACTCAAAGATTAGGCCTACTTTATTATTTCCCCTGGATCCCTTATAATGTGAATCCTACTATAACGAGTATTTCGCACCAGTCCCCTCCCTCTCATTATAACACGATTCCACAGTAATAAATGTCCTTTGGGTTCATACACACAGGATCACTACATTTTAAAATGATTTACAGTGAAGTAGCCTAACCTACTCCACATACTGTTTATTTTGATAATTTTGAGACAACACCCAAAAGACAATCTAGGCGTCACCACATCAGCTCAGCAACATGCCACACATGTGTCTTGAGAAGTACTCGCCCATCTGTTGGACTATGTTTCATGGGCCTGTGTTAAAGTGTGGTGTTGATTATATTTTTATAGCATCTTTTTAACATTTAAAAGGTACACCCTACGCTATAAATCGCCTTTAAACAACATACAATATTATACCCCCCCCCACTTTTTAGGCTTATAATATCAAAGAAAACATGTCGGAACTTTATTTTTCAGGTCAGAAGCCTTCAGAAATGGGATTTTAAATTCTGTTGGTCATTCAACTTTTTTCATACTTTTAGACCCACAAGTAAAAACCTAAGCAATATAATTTGTCCGCATACCATGGACAGATGGACATATACGAATGTCGAAAGGAACAAGCTGCACTGACTTGGAGTCGACAAGTATAGATTTAGTTGTGTTATTAGTAATACAGTAAATTCTGCCTAGAAATCTAGTCTATAGTATAGTCTCTGGTGAAATGAATATCTGTATTTCGACGTAATTCGCATGATCTGCCATCCGGAGACAGGTAAAAGATCTAGATCCGTACTACTGTAAGTCAAAAATACAGTCCAACCTGTATTAGATGGAATTGCAAGGGAGCCCAAAAAAAATTCAGTCTTAGACATTTTCCATCTTTTCCGGAATTAAGGGGGAGACGGAGGGTGGGGGTCAAAGGCCCAGCCGGTTGGATCAAGGATGGCTTGTCCGATCGCAAGCAGTGGTCAAAACTTCACACCTCTCAATCGCTATCCTGTCTGATAATGACATCATGCGTCAGTCTTACTTTAATCCAATTACCACCAGTGCTTGCCTTTCATAGGACCACTGTTTGACCTATTAAAAACAGAAACGTTTGAAAATCTCCTTTGCTTCTACCCTTAGCCCCACCCACCAATGCCACCCTTCACTGCCATAATTGTAAACAACGATTTGAGGAACTCTTTTCTCGGCTGGCCGTACGATCAGGGCGGCAGGCATTGGTCAATCTAATTTCACACCTCTGGCTTCTGGACCCAGGAAAGTTTCCATAGTGGCTCGCTACTACTCGAGCACTCTCACGTGAAGTCGTGAGATTTCACACCCACACAACACTGACCATCTGTATCGCTCAGGGCTCACATGATGGGGTAACCGTAACATCTACCCCAAAATTGCACCCCTACTCCCCTTCCTCGCCCAGCGGCATGGCCATAGTGTTAAGTTTAGAGTCGGCAGAACCAAACTTGCGAGTTTTGTTTCAAATCAGGGCTGAGCGGGAAAAGCATTTTCTGTCTTAGAGACAGGTGAAACCCTCGTAAGGGAGCAGATTTTTCGGGAGGACTTCCGTAACGAGCGACCACCCTATCAAACACAATAAAGAAGAGGCCTAGACCTAACCCTAACCCTGCCCTTACCCCTACCCCAAGCCCTCAATTCTGCTCTGTCTCATAGTGGTCGCTCGTTACGGAAGTCCTCCCGATTTTTCTTTCCGTTTCCGCTTTGGAAAGGTTTCTGTTTTATGCAGGTAGATCTTTACTACAAAGAGGAATATAGGGGGGAGCGGGGAGATTCTGTTAAGACAGGTTTCCGTTAAGGCAGGTTCGGTGATCTTATACTTTGGAAGAGGCTAGCCGTACTTAATGACGGCTAGACTGGCAGTCTAGCCATACTTAAGTACGGCTAGACTCGCAGTCTAGCCGTACTTATTCTTAATATGATGGCTAGACTCACCATTTACAAAAAATAGGCCTACTGAATTGTAAATATACATTTTTAGTGTGCAGTACCTAAAGTATTTGTATTTGAGACGAAACCAGGTGCCTTAATGACAGTGCATGTATTTTAAACCTCCTGTTTTCTAATGTTAATAGGGCCTAAGATTTAAAGTACGGCTAGACTGGCAGTCTAGCCATACTTAATATTGATGGCTGAATTGTAAATGAAATTTTTAGTTTGCAATGCCTAAAGTATTTGTATTTCAGACAAAACCAAAAGGTGCCTTACTGACTTGCATGTATTTGAACCTGAATAATTACTAGATCTAGATCTAATGAGACCTGTGTACTAGGGCTGTACCCCGGTAGCAAACCCACTCATGCTCACAAGCCCCTAGTTCAAGTCACAAGCCTAAAATCACTAGGTCAAATCATCAAATCAAATCACCAGCATGATAAGTTGAGTCTAGCGCAAACTGTAACCTCCTTGGTCTAGTCTAAACTTCAAGTCCACAGTAACCAGCAATCCGCGAAGCCACTCGTGTCAGGCCCCCTCATCATCTCCACCCTGCTTGCGATCCGCGAAGCCACTTACGTCAGAAAAAGAGAGAGGGGGAAAGTGAGAGATCTCGCCCACAGAGTGGCGCTGTAGTTTACTCGATTTCGAAGGCCTGCGTAAGCCTCAAGTCCCGTCCGCAGCCACAGGTCCCACAATTCACACAGTACTGATTTGCGCTAGGCCTAGAGATTTGCCCCAGGACACGCTCCAAACCTGACCTGCTGACTTGTACTGTCTCGATACACCGAGCGAGCGGCACGGGCTCGATGTGGTAGGACCGTCTTGATGGCGACAAGACAGTCCGATGTGTTCAAACAGCAAGACAGTACTGTTCGTTGTGTGAACTTTGAACCGTGGAGGAAGGGAGAGGCTGGGCTTGTTTTGGTGCAAGGCGTAGAGAGCTGAAGTTATTTTTAACTTCCCGCCGTTGATCAGCTAAGCGAATGGATAAGTGAGAGGGAGCGTGGTATTGCAGTAACAGAGACCTAGGTTTCTGGTAATAAGAATAAGTTGACTTAGATTACCCTAAAATGGAAAACTCCAGGGGTCGTTGTGATTGGCTTTTGTATCGTATGTATGTAACCTATTTTGTAGATGTGTTACACTCACAGTGACATAATACAGAACATTTAGGAGACGGGCTAGGCCTACTTCAACCCAATGTCAGGGCCAACCTGGGCTGAGAGGGAACAACGCCCCAGCAGAAAGACGGAGGTTCTCAGTAAAAATTTCTCCCCATACGGGAATCGAACTGAAGTCTTTTGCGTGCGACGATGAAGCGCTTGGCTCGTGCACATTAAAAATAAACAGGCCTTAACATCATAAGAATAGCCGATCCAATATTAATTTTTAAGTGCATTGAATAGAGCTTTTTTTTTTTGCAACCGAACTATGAAAAAAACCCCAACCGATCTTGCCCTTTTGGTGTAAGCCTCTCAACGCAAATAACCAGAAAATCTTCTGTAATATGTACTGAGCCCACTGCCACGAGAGTTCGCGACGTCACGACACAGTACAGTAGGACTGTCCACGAGTCACAACTCACCGGAAGTTCCCTCTGGTAGCAAGCGGGAGGCAAATCAAACCACAAGCCTGCTCGCAAGCCTCTAGCGCAAGACGTCCGCTGATTTGCAAGCCTTCGATTAACCGAGCAGAATCCAGCCCTACTGTGTACTTAACAGGCTTGAGTCGATAGGGCCAAACCTAGATCTAAGTACGGCTAGACTTCGTTATACTTTAATTAGCAGGTTAAATTCCCAAAGTCTACTAATCCCCGACTCAGACCTTCAAAACTTTGAACTGGGCCTAAAAATGCGCAAACTACCGTAATTTTGTCATGAACAGATGGTATAACAGTGGTTTTCGGTCTTCCATTGTCACTCATTGTGATTTTGGAAGCCAGTGAGTATAATCTTGATTAGATAGATCATGTTTTAAAGTGGTCGCTCGTTACGGAAAAGGGAATAAAATAAAATCAATTGAAGAATTTAACGTGCTAAAGTATAAGATCACTGCTAAGGCTAAAGTATAAGATCGCCGCAGATTCGACTATTGTACAACTAGATCTAGAATCTAGATTAGATCTAGATTTATATCTAGAATCTAAGTCTAATACTAGAATCTAGTTACTAGATCTAGATCTAGATCTAGATCTAGATTCTAGATTTCTAGGAGACCATTCTCATCATAATGTATCCATACCTGAACTCTATAATTAACGGCAAAGGCATCCCAGACTTGTCGCTCTGCTTCTCTTTACTAAAAAAGAAAAGGAAGTCCTCCCAAAGAGAAACTTGGTCGTTTTATAGATTGTCTCAACAGATGAGTTAGGCCCAAAGATGTAAAAATAGAAATAGAACCACCTCTAAGGTTATGCCTAATTTCGAAAGTAGCTTGTGTGTACACCGCGACCAAGGAGCTCTTTAATAACAAAAGTAGTAAAGTCCCTTAGCTCCGCTCTTCTAGCTAGAAGAATAGTAAATTTTTTGATCGCATCAAAATGGCAGCAAGGCAACGAAGACCTGTCTCCTCGTCTGGGAAGTTTCACGGACGAGAAGTTATGCGGCCCGTTGTCAGTACAGACATAATGGGCAACAGAAATGTTGAAGTGGTCCCAGTAGGTGCATGGGTAGAGCCAGCAGATGACGATGTTCAGCCTGATGCTGTTGTAAGGATCATTCAGACTTTTCTTTCTCACTGCATTATTGAAATTATTGTACACACAAAAAGTACGATCGAGCAAGCTCAAACACGTTTTTCTTTTTTCTTATGGTCCGTTGTTGAAACAAAACATTAAAAAGAAATGTACTTTATCATTCTCTGAGCATAAGGTTTTTCTGAAAATTATTGGTACAAATATATTACTTTTCAGTCCTAGAAATGTGACAGCTTTGCAAAGGCGTTTCCTTCTCTAGTCTCTAGAGTCTAGAGTCTAGTCTGTGTAGTCTTGAATAGCCTACTTACTTACATTTTACTTTTGAATCTTCTCCGGCACCTGTTGCTTCCCTCCTGACATCTTTGTCCAATCCTACACCCCTTGCGAGATCAATTTTTAAACATAAAAGCGCTTCTAGTTCACTGTGGAAGTTGGAGAAAACGGCACTGCAAGTATCATTTACTTTCTGCTGATCAAAGTTTCATTTCGGATCTTGTTTACGAGAAGTAGTTTCAGTGTAGCAGGTGATTTGGAAGCTCAGATCAACTGATCAGCAATGTTTTCCTTCTGTCACTGCGGTCAAGAAGTTGGCATTCACTTTGATGTTGAGGCGAACACGCTCTATTTTGAGACTTTCTAACAATAATAGTGATGATTTTAGCGAGGTCGAAAGCTGCAACTTTGGTGTATTTTCAGAGTTTTTACTTAGTTGTGAATTAGCTGAGAATAAGCATTTAGAATGGGAAACATGGGACCAAGCATGAGTACCGGCAATCGCCTAGGGGAACCAACGGGTTGTGTTAAATCTAGATCTAGTAGAGTCAGAGTTAGACCTGTGACTTAAACAGAAAAAAGAAAGATGCCTTTAGATCCTGATCCTGTAATACAAGAGCAGGAACTATGAGTAGATTTTGGTCGCAATTTGTAACTCAATTTCAAGGCATTAGATGTCGTGCAAGTCAGCCTGGTAAGATAAGACCTGCAAAGGGAAGGGAGACATCAATGAAAGCTGTGTATTTTGCGGCATTCCTTTGCATTGAACCCTGCTTTAAAAAAAATTTCCACTCAGAATAAATAAACAACTTTACTGCTTAATATAAAAGAAAACTACTTAAAGAATATGTAGTTGCTTAGCAATGCCAATGACAATTTAAATTTTCACTTTTGCCCCCCTTTTTTTGGTACCTAAGAAAGAATTTTCAATTCTAATAATTATGCTTCTTGAATTTTGAGAATCGGTTCATAAATAAAAAAGTTATGGGGTTGTAAAGGTCGGCAAAATATGGATGACCCGCATATAGGAAAATACTCCTAAAAAGTGGACCACGCAGTAGCAGATTCTGTAAGAAAATCGACGATATCTCGGTAACTAATCCGAGTGTTCGAGAGAAACTTGGCTACCCGATGTGTTTTTGAGTGTAGAAATCATTTCTGCAGTCAGATTTACTACCAATTTCGTAGTTATTTTGTTATAATTAAAATTGTGGTGTACATATTACGATTTTGCGAAAAAGGGGTGTCGGGATGAGTCCATTTTATTTATAGCATCGTATCACAACATGGGATCTTTAAGAATATATGTCGGCAGGGTGACTAAATAATTGCAAAGCTTTTTATGATGACTTTAGACCATGCCAACCGTAAAAGATAAGTTAATTCAATCTAGCATGCCGTACAATTAAAAATTCTTTTCCCCCGTTGAGACGCGAACACCCCGAGATGAGATAACCTCGCCTCAGAATACCCCCATTGCGATGTTACAGGGGAATAGAGAGAAAAACAACCGGATGTGCGCGCCCGCCATTGCCCTATTTCAAGTGACCAATGAACGGGCCCGGAATAGTCATGCAGGGATTTGTAGGTCACATACATTTGCCACGAGAGTGAGGGGAAAATGGCCGATCTCCGTGCGAAGCCGCTTTGGATAGGGGGGTAGTCGTAGATTTACGATCGGGTCTAAACAACTACTTGACACAGAACTCTCAAATTTGAGCACACTATAGAGGATAGATAGATCTATTACCATCTGGGCGTTGAAATTCAAACTCCTTATAGTTTTCGGTGTACACGATACGAAAGTGTTCCCGACACCAAAAGTATAGGTTAATTTATGTGTACGAACTTCAACGTCCACATATCATTAGTTTGCCCTATTTTCTGATTGGTTGCCGAGTTTCATTCGGATTGGTTCGGAAATAGAGCAGACCGAGGTTGACAAAGTTAGTCACCTACGCTTCGGCCGGGTCCGCAAAATCGCTCGTAAACGGGGACCAAATTTTTGCCTCGCGGGAAAGCCCGATTGGCATTGCTAAGTTGCTTGATTTTGTTTTCAATTCCACATAAATCAAGCCCTTTTTCTGTAAATGTTCTCCTCCTCAGTTTGGACAAGTACCTCTAAAAAAAATTTCCGGCATGGTCAAATTGTGTCCAGTTTATAAAGATCATAATACAGAAGCTTATAAAATATTTCTTTTGTCATTTATTTTGCATATTGTTGTGAAATGTCTGATGATTCTGTGGTGTAAATTTAGTGTATGTGGTGTGAGGGGGTGAGTTTTTTTAAACCTAAAAAAAAAAAGCGCCCAGACTCCAGCGCTTGTGTTTTTTAAAATACCCCAGTCTCAAGTAAGTTAACATTTCTTTTTAGAGGATGGGATGGGTTTATAGATAATTTTCCTTTCTTGTTCTTACTCTGATTGTCAGTTATATTTTACAAAGAATTTTTACCATGGCAGTAGATCTTTTTTTGTATATATTGCTTTTGGAAAATGTGAAAGACGAAGAATAAGTATGCTAAAAATCTTGAATTTAGATATGCTGTCATGTTGTAATTGTGTGTCAGTATGGTAAAAGGTATAGATATATGTGTGTGCCCAGACACATACACTCTAGCTCTCTCTCTCACACACACACACACACACACACGTGCTCATGCTTTCTTCTGTTCCTTGGTTGATTTGACAACTTTTTCAAGTTTTTTTTTTTTGCACTGACAAAACTTTTTGGGGTTTAATTGCAGATGGCAGCAAAAGAAGAGGAAGAGAAAATCCGACGCATGCAAGAAGAAAAGGAAAACAGATTGAAAAGTTTTCAGCAACGAGTGAAGCAGCGTGTCAGCCAGGCATCCAGGCTAAAGAGACAGCAGCAAATTCAAGAGGCGGAGCAAGCTGTAAGTTATCTAGTTTTCATGGGCCTGTGTTTGTGTATCTGTGGGGGTGAGTTCATGAATTTGAGTGTCAGAATATGGTGAGGATCAAGGGTAGAAGCTGTATGAGGTAGAAAAAATGCTATTTTGTATTGGATAAAGTAAGGTCTGGTAATTATAAGTCCAATGTCTCTTTAAAAAAATCAAGACACTTCTTTGGGACAAGCACAGTCAAAGTTATATGAAGAATGATCAGCAGATGGACTCTGAGGTGGATATTGGAGCGGGGAGCGGAGCACGTATGGCAATGCCCGGAGTGCTATGATGTTGTTCCCAGGATCCAGTAATCAAGTATATGAAGAACAACCGAGTAAAACTGAAGTAAACGAGAGAACTAAATGTATGCTGCTACTTTCTGTTTTGATGATCTCTTTACAGTTTGAACAAGAGCGAAGGGTCGTGCAACAGTCATGTCTCACTGCTGAGAATTCTAGAAAAGATACCTGTCTGCATCGTCAGGACTTGGATTTGGCCATCAGAAATCGATTATTTCAGAAATATGGAGGTCAGTGTAAGGTCATTGGGATTTTTATGTCACGCTTACAAGATTTTGTGTGGTGCTTTTTTGCTCCAAATATTAGCGATATCATGTTGATGTATTGCTAAATGTATCGATGTATCGGTTGACTTTTATTGATGTACCAGTAGGCATTGTATTGATGTACACTTATATTACTTCTGCTCATTTAGTTGTCAGTCATTTTTTGTTGTCGCTGTGACTAGATTTCTTTGTTTGTTTTATTACCCTGTAATTAAGTTTGTCTCTTAATTTGTGAGTTAGTTTGAAGACTGTTTTTTGCTTTGTGCTGTGAAATTGCCAGTACATTTTTGTGTGTGTGATATGTGAGTGTGAAGATTTTTTCACATTTCTTGGCTCTTTCAGAGGATATGTCAACTTGGGAAAAGGACTCGGTGCCGGCATTCATATCTCATTCAGATGTGGTAAGTATCTGTGTATCTTAAATATCTGATATGGAGGTTGTGAGTTACGGGCTCTATGTGACGCTAGTAGTAATTGGAACAATTTTACCCGGCACAGCTATGTAGCTCATAGCCGGCAGTGAAGGGGTTAAGTATTTTTGTCTTTCATTTTCAAATTCTGGACATTCAAAAATGATGTGAAAATTTCTTAAAAGATACCGTTATGTGGACACCTAGAGGACATGAAAATAGTGAGAATGGTTGGAAGGCACCAGTGGTAGGTCCTAATTTTTTTTCTTTTCCTCTTTATTCCTGTCTGTATCTGTAGTTTTTTTCCCAGGATTAAATGGCCATCATTGTGTGGATGTACTTCTCTTTATTCAAACAAACAAGGCGAAAGAGGAAGAAGAATAAAAAAGGAGCGAGATGCTTTAAATAGATCATCACCACCCTTCTGTTTCTGTTTGTGTCTGTCAGAATCATGAGGTGACAGGCATACTTTAAGTAGCCTCCACCATTTTGTTTCTAGAGTTATGAGGTAGTAGGCAAAGCTATTAATAGATATAATTCACTTTTCTGTTTTGGTAGTCATGACGTGAAGGACAAAGCTATATTTATAGATCTCCACTCTCCTGTCTTTAGAGTCATGAGGTGATGGACAAAGCTCGTCAACAATTGATGTCCAAGAAACTCTCCACACAGCCACAGAGAGTTGACCCCACGCCCGCCAGCTCATGGGGCAGAGTGACCAGAGACATTCAGGTAGTAGTCTAGCCAGTATGTGTGACAGACTGGCAGTGAGTGGTCGAACAGACAAAGAGACCGACAGGTTGTGATTGTAGAACGTTTGAAAATGACTACAACTGATTTTGTTTGATCTCACAGCTCATTGTCACATAGTGTAAATTATAATATGTTTAGAACATTGTCTGCTTATAATTGTATGATTTTTAGAGCTTGTTCCTATTTTCTGGTATATTCTATGTCACATGATTCACCTTTTGGTTTGTAGAATTACTCAAAATAGTTTTTTGTTATTGTCCCACGATTGTCGTGTCCACATACAACACTAATGACTCATGATTGACATATCTACAGTGTGCATTAATGACTCATGATTGACATTATTTTATATCTACAGTGTACACTTATGACTCATGATTGACATTATATATCTACAGTGTACACTAATGACTCATGATTGACATTATATGTCTACAGTGTACACTAATGACTCATGATTGACATGTCTACAGTGTGCATTAATGAATCATGATTGACATATCTTATAGTGCACTGATGACTCTTACTTGACACTCTACACAGTACACTCTAATAATTGACATGCACTAACTTGTTAGGCCTATGGGTTTCTGAATACTAACAACTGCTGTCTTTTCATCTACAGACCCCCACAGTTAGGAATATGGTGTCGGTAGAAGAGTTGCAAACGTCAGCTGGCAGACAGATAAACAAAATCCACGGTGCTGAGGAGGGAGAGGAAGAACGTGAATGGGAAGACAGAGGTGAGAAGGCATGCTTGTGAGTGGGAGGACAGAATTTGGAGAGGAGGAATGGTAGGAGGAGGACGGAAGGGGGAGAGGAGAAATGTGAGTGAGAGGACGGAGGGGGGAGGAGGAGAAATGTGAGTGAGAGGACAGAATTAGGAGAGGAAGAATGGGAGGAGGAAGACGGAGGGGGAAGAGGAGCATTGTGAGTGGGAGGATGGGGGGAGAGGGTGGTGGGGGAGGAACGGAAGTGGGAGGACAGAGGGGGAGAGGAGGAATTGGAGTGGGAGGGGAGAGGAGGATTGTGAGTAGATGGGGAGGGGAGGCATGTGGGTGACCAAACTGAGTTCACATTCCTTGGCTTCTTGTTTACAGTATCCCAGCAACCAGACAGTGGTAACTGATACAATTCAATAGCCTCCCCATTTGGGAATTGAACTCATGTCTTCTGCAACAGTGAAGAGCCTTACCATTATACCACGCACACCGGTGCTTCTTGTGTATGTTACTTACATGCACTTTTACTTTGCTTTAATTCACCACATATTAAAGGTAAATGAGGCAGGGGTAGACCCAGAATAACTTGCTTGGAGAGCCGCAACGGGTGGGTGACAGGGAAAGATCAGGATAATATATCTTCTTTTGAGAGCATCTAAGCAAAGGAATGAATGGCAAACCATGATCGCTGATGTCTGTTGCTGATCTGGCACTTGATGATGATGATAATACCTTTTTTGACTTGTGTAGTGTTGCGAGATGAGGATATGTTGTTCTGCTGCCAAGTCTTTCAATGTCACCTTCTAGCTTTGTTGCATTGGTGGCCTAGTGGTTAGGCTTTCAGATTCGCAACCATAAGGTTGTGGGTTTGAATCCCATCAGGGGCTAGACGTTGTGTCCTTGGGAAAGGCACTTTACTCAAATTTTCCTCACTTCACCCGCGTGGCAATGGTTACCCTGCTATAGACAGTGCAAGATCTTGTCAGTTTGTTAGTGTTTGAGCATTTATTCAGCTGCTTGCACTGTATGCTTCCCGGGAAGCTGAGAATGTTTCTGAGTGTTCTATGGTTTGCTGGTGTAATAATATTGTGTAAAGCGCATAGAGCTTGCTGTCGAGTGGGTATATGCGCTAAACAAATGCTATTTATTATTATTATTATTATTATTGCCATTGAATTTTGTAGTGCTGGCATGTTATGCTGGGTGGAATGTTGGTAGTCGTGTGACACGCCTGAACCATTTGCGTGTTTGGTGTTGGAGGTGATGCACAATGTCATTTGTGCTCTCCGATTCTCTGATCACTGTGTTAAAATTTTTTTTTGTCTTGCCTGGTCTTGTTCGTTGTTAACGTATGACATGGTATTTCACAAGTATGTGTTGAGCTAGAGGAAATCAGTTTGTGTAGAGCTTATGGGTTCAGCGATGGTGACCGCTCAAGGGGTCAGGTTATTACGTCATGATTGTGTCTCCGTGTAGAATGTCCGTCTAAACATTTGTGTTGTATTTTTGTCTATGTTTATAATGTCTATCTCAACAGGTTGTGTGTGGAATGTCTGTCTAAACACTTGTGTTGTGTTTGTGTCTCTGTTTTTTATGTCTGTCTTAACTGTTTAGCCTTGTCTTTCTTTTTGTCTAGTTTTCTCCCTTTCATAAACTATTTGCACTGTATTACTGAATTGATGATTGAACTGATTTTTACGTTTGGTTTCCGAGTTTTTGAGCCAAATCAAGTCAGTCACCTGTGACTTTCAACTACAAAATGATTTTTGGCTTACAAAGATAGGTTTTTTTTTCCTGATCCTAGGATGTTTCTCAGAAGAAGAATATGACAGGGAAGACAAAGCCAAGGATAGACAGAAGGATTTTTCGGAAGACAGCAAAAGAACACAGATGTCTGTGCAGTTTGACGTTGAAGAACATTCTGGCAGACACAGAAGGAAGAAGCGACCAGGTAAAGGATTGTCCATCAATAGTCTTCCCCGTGTTCTTTTTTTTTGTTTTTACTTTTCCTTTATAAACATAGGTGTTGGCCTCTCATTCAAAGGTCCCGGGTTCGAATCCGGGTAGCGACTGAAAAATTTTCTTGTCTAGAATTGTCTCCTTTCACCTCCTTTCCTGCTCTCTAGCAATGTTCTGTTGTCTGCTTTCATTTCCACTTTCTGCCCCCACCCCCTCACCTCCTTTGCCCCCTCCTCTGGGCTCCTGACTCTTTCTGCAGCCTTTCTACTGCTACTCCTTGGCTTCTTCTTACTGCTGTCTTTCTGCCACACCCCTGATCTTCTGGTAGGAAAGATCTACACCTAGCCTTCTCGGACAAGGGCGAAAAATCTCGGAAGACCCGTGTTCAAGTTGCACACGTTAAAGATCCCTTGGTGGTCTAAAATCGATAAGAGTAGCCTTCAGCCGCCACCAGGGCAAAATTCAAAATTTCCTACCAACTGAAAATATTAGGTGTGTCCTGCGCGCTCATATGACCTTATGCAGTTAGTTGCGAGCGCTGTAAAACACTTTACAAAAACAAACAAACAATCTGAAGACAGAAAAAGGAAATATGTCATCATTCCTTCCATGCAGGATGTTTCACTGGGATTTATGGTAGCCTATATGTGAGGAAACATCTTTTTCATTTTGTAGGTAGTTAGTATTTTACTATTATCCATTTAGCTCAGTGTTTTTCCAACTTTTTTCGCCCACCCTCCCCTTTTTTACCCAGCCGAGTCCCAGCGCCCCCTACTCCACCCCAACCATCAATCTGACATAACAACATGCATAATATAATAACAATCACAAATAAAGAGAGAGCTCAAACAGCAGGGTAGAAAATAATGTTCCTAAATTCTAATGATTAGGTTCTGAATATTAGTTATTGGGTCCCAAATCACTATCTTTACAGTCTTAAGTTAAGCGTGGACGAGAGATAATAAAACACATTTTTTTTTCAATCTTATGCAAGGGCATTGAGAACAAAATACTGTCATTTTATGCCTATAGTTGTCATCGGTATTAAACGACCAGTGTTATTAACATCAATAAATATAAAACATGTGTTATCACATTTACAGAAGCAAAACGCCAAAAAAATAAATAAATGAATAAAAACGCCCGTGATCATTGGTTTGAAAACAGATTGAAATTATCTTTATGAAATGTTTTCTCCCATCACTGTGCTGCAATATAGTGGCCTGAGATTTGTATCAAATAGATTTATCTCCATTGTAGAAAATAAAAATATTATTAAGTTGTTCAAATGTGAGATACCACACGAGAGAAAAAGTAAGCATGGATCTTAGTCTATAATTATCACCATCATCGTCATCATCATCAGCAGTGGCAGCATGTGCACTTATGACAAACTCTATTAAACAAGTGAATGTTTTGCTTTTTAAAAAAAAAGAAGGAAGAAAAGAAAAAAAAAAAGAAGGAAGGAAAAAAAAAGAAAAAGAAAAGGTACATTGAGATATCAAGTAAGGGTAGACTACGGAGTAAGCATGCGCAAATGAATTATTGACACTACCCTAATGGGAAGGATGGACCTGATAAGACGAAACCAACTTATCAACATCAGGTTTCAGATTGGTCAGTAGCAGACGCAAATCGCTACCCTTCGTCAGCAACCTTGTCACTGCACTGAATTCCCTTTGTACTAGATAGGAGGTGGGAAAAGAGATGAACAACAACTTGATCTTTTCTCACTTGGAGGGATATGTTTGTCTTGCACAACAGTTACCATCTGTTTCAGTGTTGAATGGGTCCAGTACCCAGCTTGGAATTTCCTGTTAAAAAATATCAGTAGACTAAACCTAGTCTTCATATCAGCATGCAAATCTCTGAGGTGGTTGCTATATATATATATTTGTAGTTCCTCGTCAGAAACGCGCCCTTCTTTCAATGTCTTCGTCAAGCTAGGAAACTGAGCAAGTTTTCTTCTGCCAATGTTTCGGCAGATCATTTCCAATTTTGACAAGAATGACGAAAGCCTTGATCCGGTTGGTGCCATCTTCCTGCAACTGAAAGTTTAACTGGTTGAACTTTGTGAAAAGATTTGTAAGGAACGCAATGTTGTTCTTGTGTTCTTTCAGTTTATTGCAGAGATCACTGTCTGTTTCTTGAAAAAAAACCCAACTCCAGCACAGAGTCAAACAGGCAGAACTTCTTCCTCGTTCTCAAACAGGCAGAACAATAATCATGTTAAACAGTTTCCTTTTGAGAGCCGCCGGACTTCAGAGATCTAAAGTAAGCATTTAAAGTCCTCGTCATTTTCAGTGCACAGCTGTTGGAATAATCTCGAGTTGAAAGCGTGGACTTTGATCTTGTTCACACACTTGATGACAATGGCCAGTGTGTCATGCAGACTTTCATTTAGGTTTATTTGCCACCAAATTCTGTCTGTGAATGAGACAGTAAACAGTAAGTACTCCAAGGACTGATTTCTTCATGAAGTTCATAAATCCACTTTTCCGACCTGCCATCGACGGTGACCATCTGTTGCACAGGCAACTATATTGGTCAGAGGGATCTGTTTCTCCTCGAAAAATTCTTGGACCGCTTTGAAAATGGACTTGCCTTTGGCATCTGTTTCCAACATTTTCGTAAATAACTATTCTTGCATTATTTCCTCACCCTCTATGAACCGATATCCAGTTCAAGGCTGAGCTCACGTCCTTTCAGCATTTTGCACAATGGTTCCTCAACATTTGCTGACATCTCATCAATACGTCTTTGAATGGTATTGTCACTTAGTGGGAGAACTTTCAACACAGGCTCCGGGGCACGGTGCAGGACTGTGCTGACCACCTCTCTTATCGCAGGTAATATGAGATCCTCACCGATAGCATGGGGTTTGCCTGCCTTTGTAATTAGCTGAGATAAATTGTATGTTGCTCATAAGCCCACATCAGCTTGATCGACATTGGCTGCTAACATCGGTTTAACTGATTTTCATTTCTGAAAATTGATCTTTAGAGTTTTGAAGTATGCCAGATCTTTTGTCAGATTTGTCTTGATGAATCTTCTTTATATGGGATTTGTGTGCTGGGAAAAAATTTCTTAGTTATAAGTAGTATTGTAAACTATGCCTAAGCTATCTTTAATTTTTGTTTTTGTTTTTGTTTTTTATGTGGCTTTTTTCCCTTCACCATTTTTTATGTTGCGTTTCGTGAAAATTTCACACCGCCCCCTTAACACCCGCTAACGCCCCCCCCAATCGCCCAATTTCGCCACAGCCCCCCCCCCCAAACTCTCGCCACTGGGTAGTGCCCACTTTGAAAACCACTGATTTAGCTTTTCGATTCTTAGGAATGTCCAAAAAGGAAGTAGAATTATACAGTCGACTCCAAACATGGAAATTTATTGCATGTATAAAAAAAGAAATAGATAAAGTGACTGTGAAATATTATAGTCTCTCCATGTCTCTGTATGTCAGTTTTCTCTCTATGTGCCAGTATATCAGTTTTTTCTCTGTGTCTCTGTATGTCAGTTGTCTCTCTGTGTCTCTGTATGTCAGTTTTCTCTCTGTGTCTCTGTATGTCAGTTGTCTCTCTGTGTCTCTGTATGTCAGTTTTCTCTCTGTGTCTCTGTATGCCAATTTTCTCTCTTTGTCTCTGTATGTCAGTTTTGTCTCTGTCAATTTTCTCTCTTTGTCTCTGTATGTCAGTTTTGCCTCTGTAGGTCAATTTTGTCTCTGTATGTCAGTTTTCTCTCTTTGTCTCTGTATGTCAGTTTTCTCTCTTTGTCTCTGTATGTCAGTTTTCTCTGTATAGTTTCCTCTCCTTGTCTTTGTACCTCCGTTTTCGCTTTGTGTCTCTTTTTTTCCTTGTGTCTTTGTATGTCAGTTGTCTCTCTTTGTCTCTGTATGTCAGTTTTCTCTTCGTGTCTCTGTGTGTCAGTTTTCTCTCAGTGTCTCAGTTTTCTCTCCGTTTCTCCGTATGTCAGTTTTCCCTCTGGGCCCGTGTATGTCAAATTTCTTTCAGTGTCTCAGTTTTTTCACCTTGTCCCCAGATTCGTCCAGACGGCAGACTTCAGCTCGTATGCAGGCGCTGTTGTCTCAGGAATCAGAGAGTGACATCCTGGCGCGTCAGAGACGGCAGCAGGCGGCGGTGTCTCGGCGGGTGTTCATGGACCGGGAGAGAGAGGCTGTGAGGGAGAACATACGCAGACAGCAACATAGGAAGAAAATTGTCAGGTGAGGAAATGTCGCCATCGTTCTGTGTGAGCTGTTTCATTGGGTGTGTGGTCTAGGTGGGGAAATGTCACTTTCACTTTACAGGAAATGTTTTGTTGACTGTGTGGTTTAGGTGGGGAAATGTCACTTTCACTTCACAGGAAATGTTTTGTTGACTGTGTGGTTTAGGTGGGGAAATGTCACTTTCACTTCACAGGAAATGTTTCGTTGACTGTGTGGTCTAGGTAGGGAAATGTCACTTTCACTTCACGTGAGATTTTATCATTGGAGTAATGTCTAGGTGAAGAAATGTCACCATCAGGTGAAGAAATATGTCATCATCATTCCTTCCAGGCAAGATGTTTCACTGGGATTTATGTTATAATATGTGAGGAAACATCTTTTTCATTTCACATGAGATGTTTTATTGAATGTGTGGTCTAGCTGACAAAATGTCACCATCAGTTGAAGAAATATGACCATCATTCCGTGTGAAATGTTTCACTGCGTGTGTGGTGTAGGTGAGGAAATGTCACTATTAGGTGAGAAAGTATTACCATCGTTCTGCACGAGGTGTTTCATTTGGGTGTATGGTCTAGTGGTTCATGTGTATATCAGTGACATTGTCTGTTTATGTCTCTATCAGTCTGAAGAAAAAGAAGGAAAAATACCGACAAGGACTAGATGCAACGGTTCATCTGTTTATCTATCTATCTATATCTCTGTGCTATTGTCATTGTCTATATATATAGTGTTTATTTCTCTGTCGCTGTCTGAAGTCAGAAAAAGGAAAATACTGCCACAGACTAGAAACGATGGCTCATCTGTACGTCTGTTTGTGTGTTTGTTTCCCCCAGTCTGAAGAAAGAAAAAGAAGAATACAGACAAGAGCTAGAAGAGATGGCCCAGCGGGAGCTCGAACCCACCGACCCTGACACGGGGGAGACTGCCGAGGAGAGGAGACTGAGGGAAAAGCTGGAGGCTCTTGAGGTCAAGGCCATGGTGGACCAGAGAAAGGATCAGATCCAGCGGACGCGAGAGATGGAAAGGTTGGTGGTCTGAGGGCATTTGTTGGTTTGTTTGTGGGGCACAAGAGATGGAAAGGTTGGTGGTTCGTTGGGGGCATTTGTTTGGTGGTTTGTTTGTGGGGCACAAGAGATGGAAAGGTTGGTAGTTCATTGGGGGCACTTGTTTGTTGGTTTGTTTGTTTGTGGGGCACAAGAGATGGAAAGGTTGGTGGTTTTTGAGAGCATTTGTTGATTTGTTTGTTTGTATCACACAAGAGATGGAAAGGTTGGTGGTTTGTTGGGGGCACTTGTTTGTTGGTTTGTTTGTTTGTGGGACACAAGAGATGGAAAGGTTGGTGGTTTTTGAGAGCATTTGTTGATTTGTTTGTTTGTATCATATTTGTATGAGGGACAATAGAGATGGAAAGGTTGGTGGTTTGTGGGGGGCATTTGTTGGTTTGTTGGTTTGTTTGTTTGTTTGTATGTGGGACACAAGAGATGGAAAGGTTGGCGGTTTGAGGACTCTTGTTTGCTTGTTTGTTTGTTTGTTTGTTTGTTTGTATGTGAGAGATGGAAAGGTTGGTGGTTTGAGTTTGAGAGCATTTGTTGGTTTGTTTGTTTGTATGTGGGACACGAGAGATAGAAAGGGTGGTGGTCTGACGGCATTTGTTGGTTTGTTTGTATGTGGGACATGAGAGATGGAAAGGTTAGTGGTATGAGCACATTTGTTTGTGTGTGTGTGGTGGTACAAGTGCTTTGTTTGTGATAGACACGTTTAATCATTATACTAGCATCTGTGTTTGTTGCCATTTTTTGTCCAAAAGTTGCCCAAAAAATTGCCATTAAGTTTCATGCTTTCAACTCTCACAACGTACGTGAATAATAATAGACATAGCAATATGTCGATAGAGATAACTTCATCTAAAACACAAGAATTTCTTGTGCTCTGTTTTAAGCACCCAGAATCATTTGCAGCCACACAGAGTGTTTAGTTTTAGTAGCCTAGATGTTTTACGGCGCTCGCAACTAGAAGGTCATATGAGCGCCAGAAGATTAGAGGTATTACAAGAGAGTAACAAACAAAAAAGAAGAACGGGAGATAAGGATGATAGATGTTTCATAGGAAAGAAGAAGCAAACCACACCAGAGCACTCGCCAACCACCCACACACAGAGTGTAGAAACGTGAAAAATAAAGGTTTCACAACAGAATGAAATCAAAATTAGAACAGCAAATAAACAACCTCAAAAATTATCAAATAAAGGCACACCAACAAAATAAAACATAACAAATAGGGAAACATGAAAGAGAAACAGAATATATAAATAGTATGTAATGTAGTCTACTATTGTTCTTCACATGAAAATTACAAGTCAACGTGGTGTTAACAAGTGAGAAAGAGACGAAGTGAAGCGGAAGTGAAAATAAACTTTCTGTCTGAAAGTAAAGAGGTTGGGTTTCTTTTTTTTTCCACAAATATTATTCCCAGTTTTTGTTGTTGTTATTTTAAAATTATTTTTTCTTCCCGGCCGTGGTTTTTTGTTGGAAAAATGCAAAAATCGCGGCCGCGACAAACGCAGATGCTAGATTATATCGCACACACCAGTCATCTGGCACAACATAACAAGGCTAATCATTACATCGTACACACCAGTGGTGCACATAACATACAGTCAAACTCGGATAGGACAGACAGGACTGGCAGTTTTTCCCTGTTATTATACTTAAACGAGTCCTGTTAGTTATAGTTATAACCATTCTCAAGGGAAATTATCAGTACCATTGCATCTTCAGCTTACTACAATGTAGGCTATATATATATATATTATTACATTACCGCAGATCCTTTTCCAGTTGGCTGTTTTGCTGACACTGGGACTGAATCGATCAGTGACCCCAACACTGTTTGGTGCGGAGGGGGGGGGGTACGCCTATGTGTTTGAAAGTTTGTGTTTAGGCAAGCGATCATACATACATACAGGCGAAATGTCTTGGTTGAGACAAATCTTATTAAAATTAACGGGTCGAAAACATGTTCATGCACTGCAAGATCACTGTTATACCAGAGTCTGCGCAAATTGAACCCTGTTATAATCGGGTTCATATTACTTACACTTATACTTATAGTATAGAGAAAAAAAATGGGGATTTGATTTATCACTGTTCACAAGTTCCTGTAATAACAGAGGCTGTTATAGATGGACTGGACTGTAATAAGGCTAATCATTATATTGCACACACCTGTATGGAACAACATAATAAGCCCAACCATGACAGGACACACATACCGGTAGGCTGCACAGCATGAAATTCGTCTTCCTTTCTGTGAAATGTGTGCAGTTATTTCTACGTGTTTCCTTGAATGATGCTTCAAGGTGTTATGAGGATGTATCAGGTATTACCTGTGCCTTGTGGTGATGTTCAGGTATTACCTGGGTCTTGTGATGATGTTTCAGGTATTACCTGGGTCATGTGATGTTTCGGGTATTAATGGGTCTTGTGATAATGTTTCAGGTATTAAGTAGGTCAACAAGTGATAGTGTTTCAGGTATTACCTGTGCCTTGTGATGTTTCAGGTATTACCTGGGTCTTGAGATGATGTTTCAGGTACTACATGGGTCATATGATGATGTTTCAGGTACTACCTGGGTCTTGAAATGATGTTTCAAGTATTACCTGTTTCTTGTGATGTTTCAGGTATTACCTGGGTCTTGAGATGATGTTTCAGGTACTACATGGGTCATATGATGATGTTTCAGGTACTACCTGGGTCTTGAGATGATGTTTCAAGTATTACCTGTTTCTTGTGATGTTTCAGGTATTACCTGGATCTTGAGATGGTGTTTCATCAAGCATTACCTGGGTCATGTAATGATGTTTCAGGTACTACATAGGTCATATGATGGTGTTTCAGGTATTACCTGTGTCTTGTGATGATGTTTCAGGTATTATTACCTGGGCCATGTAATGATGTTTCAGGTACTACATCGGTCTTTGTGATGATGTTTCAGGTATTTTTAAAGTTTTAGTAAGGTTTTACGGCGCTCGCAACTGCATAAGATCATATGAGTATGAGCGCTCAGGTATTACCTCTATGTTGCGATGGTTTTTCAGGTACCTGGGGGCTCTGAGGCACAGCCTGATTGAGAAGGTGAGCCGTCGTGGCATGCAGCTCCCTGCCTTGTGTGCGTGCGGAGACTCTGTGTGGGATACAAACCCAGAGACATGCGCCAACAACTGCTTCTTTTACAGAAACCATAGAGGTGAGAATGTTTGTGAGCTTAAAAAAATGGGTTTTTTTCATTAGACGAGAAACAATTTGTATTTCAGTATATGTAGAAAATTTATTGCTGTTTTTGAAGTGTATTATTATTATTACAATGTGTAGACTTTAGAGATAGTGTGGATGGTTGGAGGATGCCACAAGTATGTCTTTCTTTTTATTTCATTCCTTTTTATAGTATGTAGGGCCTGCCTCTGGAGGCCAGTTTCCTGATGGTGACGCAAAGCAAAATCTGGCAGTAAGCTGGGCTGGTTGTATAATGATAGGGTGGAGGTTGTGGTATAATGAGGTTTGAATCATAAATAAACTGAATTAACTCTATCCGTACGTCGTGTTTTACTGTCGTATCCAAACAAGGTTAGGAAGTCCGTACGTCGTGTTTTACTGTCGTATCCATACGAGGTGGGGAACTCTGTGCCACCATTTTCTAAAGAGGAAATTTACTCGTTAATCCGATCCGTACTCTTTCTATAGCAGTCTGTCAAAATGATTTTTTGAGAAATACTGAAAGTTTCAAAGAGATCTTCGCACTAGAAGTATTCTAAAATGTGAAAAATACAACCCCGGGGTTACAAAATGACCCCCAGGGGGTACAGATAGGGTTAAGGAATTGTATCAGTTGCCAAGGTCTTATATTCCATTGCTTTAGTTGAGGCCCAGTTGTACATATTTAGGAAGTCAGCGTAGCCAGAAAAAGACCCTTCTTGATATATCTTAACAACACTTCATTCCGGACAAACTGTGTTCTGTTTACGTTTAAGTGGACTCCGCTGTATTCTTAATTGTCACTGGGCCAGAAGGGAATGCTTTTGGGACAAATAGTATATATCAGGGAAGTCAAATGTCCGTTTTTTTTCATCCGTTGGAATTGCAAAGGAAAGGGGAAAGGTAAGAGAAAAATGTTTTTGTTTGCTCATTTATAAGCTTTACAAGGTTCGGTTTAGGTGAGATGTGATGCTCCACTCATTTTCATGTTTTTTTCCAAAAATCATTTGGCACCCCTGATATATACTGGTCAGCTGTCACTCTAGTGTTGATTACGAGGCTCTCAGCTTTAACCAGATGGCTATTTTTAGACAACAAACATCCCTAGTTCCCTCATCCCTAATTCCCTCAAAAACATCAGTCAGAAGTAAAAGACCTTGGCTCCTGATCTGTAACAAAGAAAGATACAGAAGGTCATTTTTACCATTATCTATCAAAATGCTTCCATCTTAAATAATAAGTATACTTACGACCTTAGAGCATGCATCAAAATAACATTAACATTGAGTGTGTATCTAGCTTACGATTATTATTGTTTATATTGCTGCTCATTTATATTATACATGTGATTGTAAGCCTACTTGTGTGTGTGCGTGTGTGTGTGTGTGTTTTTTTTGTGTGTGTGTGTGTGTGTGTGTGTGTGTGTGTGTGTACACGTGGTGGAACACCAAACCAATGTGCCAGGATCTGGACAATAAAGATGTATCTTATCTTATTGTTTCAGCTATCCGTGTTCTGATACTCTGCCTATAACCACCACACACACCCCTCTCCCTCCCCCCTGTTGTTTCTTCCGCAGCCTACGCACGAGCACTTCAGTCTCTACTGTCATCGGCTGAAGTCATGTGACCGCTGTTGGCAACAGAACAGCTCGGCAGGGAGTCTAAAGTGTCTCAGTACTGGAAGCTAAGGGAAAGCGAGTCTGTGATTATTGGATGAAAAATGTGTGCGCTACTTTTTTAGTACAATATGGACGATGAAGATCTTTCTTAGAAGGGGTATATAAATATATTATGTGGAAGCTGTTTTTGGTGACGATACCATAGTTTACTGGTTAGGCTGCTGGACTCACAACTGTCAAATCCTAGTCTGGCCCAAACATTGTGTCCTTTGGGGAAAACATATTACACACATATTGGCGGTGTCCGACTCTAACTGCGTATTCGCAAAATTAGGTCAAACACTTGTGTGTGTGTGGGGGGGGGGGGGGGGGGGTGATTTTGTTCTTATCTTCCACAATTGCTAAAAATCTTTGTGTACTTGAATAATATGGTTTCAGACAAAAGACATGTCTGACCTAATTTGGTGGATACATGGTTAGAGTTGGTGGCACGGACGATATAATTTTCCTGACTTCACCCAGAGGTGAGAATTGGTATCTCAGTATCTGGCTAAAGGCAGTGCAAGGTCTTGTCAGTATATTGGTGTTGGAGTTGAGTCAAGGAGAGATCTTGTCACCATGCCAGTGTTAGAGCACCTGTCAAATGGTAACTTGCACCAAATGCTTCCCAGGGAGATGATAGTTTTGTGGAATCTTCTTGGGTCTGTTGGGGTAATATTAAATTGTTAAAATGCGTAGAGCCAACTTTCTAGTCAGGATAAGGGCCTCAGTACTATAAACTTTTAGTATTATTATTTCTGCTGTCAGCCATTATAAGCAAAGACTAGAAAATTTCTGCAGAAAAAAGGTGTAGTATGCACATAGCGAAATTGATAAAAGTGGAAATTTTGATTTTTTTTTGCAGTACATTATACATTCTTTGTTTTTAATACAGGTGCAAAGCCAAATTTGTACATAACGAAAAGATTTCTGCATCCCAATAATTTTGCGATGAAAGTACTTAACTGACATATATATTTTAAGGACAAATTCCGGACCTGAAAAATCTGTTAACCACATTCGTGTTAAGCTATGTGTGTGTTACACTGACGTAGTTTCATATAATATTATGTCTTAAAGTGTAACTTTTTATCACATACCAATTACTAGTATATATATATATTCCGTGAGAAGCCTACCCATGCTATATGATATTTTTTACCTTTCTCATACCATGGATGTCATAGCATGCTATGTCTGGCTGGTAAATTATCAGCTTGCATGACCATATTATATGGGGAATGATTCTCAATATTATTTCACATGACAATAAAAAAGAAAAAACAAGTGAGCTTGTTTCTTGGTTGGTCAATTCAACAGTCTTGTTGGTGGTTGGAAGGTCCTGCCATCAGGTGTCATAACCTTTTTCTTGTCTAGATTGTATACATTTCATCATTTTTCCCAAGTTGTGAAAGATGACTATACTTTTTTTTTTTAAACATGAATGAAAATAGCATAAACAAAGGTGATCTTAATCATAAATTTCATTTTATTTTTTCTACCAGCATTTGGGAAATTAATAAGACATCAATGTCATCATAAGTATGTACATTGCAGTAACCAAAGGACTCTGTAGGCTGTAGTGTTGGACTTGTGGTAACACATTTTGACTTGCCCAGTGCAGCCCAAGGTCTGATGGAAAATATCTTCCAGGTTTATTTACACTTTTCCCTCCCTGTATTACTACCTCCCAAGTATTGGAGTAAAACAACAGCTTTATTCAAGTCCCGTACCTGTACTATATCAAGTGTTTGAGAATTTGGACTGAGGCAGTCTTATTCTCGGGTCTTCCATTGCTAATATCCTACCTCCAAAGAAGCAATCACTGTCAAGGACATCAAAAGAACCAAAAGGACACAACCACATGATTCTTCTCCCAAGTTTTTCTCATTGGGATTTTCACATTCTTAATGTTGCTTTGTCTTTTTAATTCTTAGTCCAAATTAGTCTGCTCAGTTCTGAACAATAAAGAATATCATATTTACCCTAAAATTGGTAATTGTACAGATTAAATGCCCCTTTTAACATTTATAAAGTTACGAAAGAGGCGGGACCTCTGAATGAAATGTCCATCTCCGACAGGACCGAGAGAGCCAAACAACCCAAGCTCAAGAACATCACACTTGAGATTCGGATCACAGTCCAGCACAATACAAACAGAATTACCAGAAAAACTCTCATATGCAAAAAACAACAACCTGAAAGTAAAGCAAAGTTCCAGGAATAACAAGCTGGGAGTATCGGTCTGTCTCGCCCCTGCAGCCAGTTTATCTCAGTAGCTATGATGACTTTGCCTCCACACTGGCTCCTTTCTTCAAGCACGCCTCTGCCATTCTGTAGGCCAGTTTGTGGTCGAACTTCTTGGCACACTCCAGACCTTGTTGACAGCTCTTCATGGCCTGGGTCACCTCCCCCCGTCTCAGATTTAACGCCCCCATGTTACAGTGCAGGACGGCAGCTTCGGGCAGCTTGGCCTTCTCAGAGATATCTATACCTTCTTTGAGTACATTCTCCGCCTTGTCAAAGTTTTTGGTGACGATAAACAGGGTTGCAATGTCGTTGAGAATGACCACATACTGGTTGGTGTCCATGCCCATGGTATTTTTGGCGTACACTCTCGCACGCTCAAACAAAGGCAGAGCTTCCTGATAACGTTTCTCATACATCAAAAAGCGACCGTAACTTCCCAAACTCATGCCTAGAAGAACGGCCGTGTCTTGTTCTGTCTCTGCCAACGCCTCTTTAGAGAGGTCCATCTTGTGTACCTTCTTCTTCTTCCCGTCGCTGTCCACCCACTGCTTCTCCCGGGCGGCCATCTTGGGTGTCTGCATGGCCACGCAGAACTTGTATCCCTCCTCAGCCTCTGTCTTTTTGCCCTGCATGGCGTAAATGCTTGCCAGCTTGAGGGAGATCTCGATGATCACGTTGTGGTCTTGGGCTAAACCCTGAGAGAAAATAATACAAGAATGGAAATAGAATTCAACATTTATTGATCCCCATTTGGAAATTTGATTTGTTTGTTGAGATAAAGAGAAGCACATCAACAAAAAAACAGTCAATTATTGCAAGGAAAGAGTAAGACAGACAAATGGAAACAGCAGAAGGAAAGAAAAAAAGTTGGACCTGCCAGTGATACCTTCTACTAACCACTCACTAGGGGAGATACAGTTTACAACGGCAAACATACAAACATACATAGAGGCTACTTACATACATACCAACCAAATATATATAACTTTATCAATGTTACATAATACACAATATCAAAGCAATACAGACAATCAACATGCTATTGCTGATCGCTTCTGTGCAGTGCCCTGTTTGTGGGCTAGGGCTATTCTGCTGTAAGCTGAGAAAATGCCTTTTTTTTTTTTCATTTTGGCTCCAAAATTGTTTATTTGCTAAATCGAAAGCCTTATCAGTTACTCTGCTTGTGTGAAAAAATCAAAGTGAAACTGTGACTAGTTCTTGAATAAATTACTATTCAACTTTCAGAAGCACTTTATTTTAAAATGAAACTACTGAAAATTGAAAAAAGGCGTTTTGTCAGCTTACCGCACTATTGTTTCTGTAAGCACTCTCCTGGATGTCGTGTTACCGACATTACATTATGGTGAACATAAACTCACTGACCAAAAGTCTGTGGTCTAAAAATAAACACAGGTGAAAAAGCACATTCTCAGAGCTCATCATAAAGAGCCCAAAGAAACTGCAGGTTACATCTTGTAACCATTACTATTTACCCAGTGATGTCAAACAGAAGAGAATTTTTTCCCGTGTTACAAGACAGAACATACAACACTAAAACTTAACCATTAAAAAAAGTATCGCCAGCATCCTTTCCCTTTTTAATTTTATCATTGATGAGAAAAATTTTCTTTTTTTTTTGTGTCTGACACGAGTCTGATTTTTAAAGAATACAGTAGACTTATTTATCTGCTTCTCGCTATCTCCCTCTCTTTCTCTCACTCTACTTCACTTTCTTTTTCTTTCTCTGAACAGACATTGGGGACCATGGCTCTCCACTCAGTCTTATATATTATATAATCATTCTTAGAAATGTTGAAGTGTTCTGAGTATTACTAGTTGCACAAGAATTTCAACTTTACTGACGATATTTGCTCTTAGCTCACCTCTACCTCTTTTTCCATCAATGTTTCTACTTAGGGTGAGATATTCATAACCCTTCAAGCTACCGTATTACTAATACTACCACTCACTTGTTGAAAGCAGCCTTTCATGGTCTCCTTATAAAGAGCTTCAGCCGGTTCCATCTGTCCCGTCTGCATGGCAATATCTGCCAAACCATCGTACATCAACGTGCGAGCTGTGAGGTGCTTGTCAGCCGTGATTTGTTCTGTCTTCAGCATATCGTCTGCCAACTGAAAAGATCAAATATTGTTATCATTGAAATGTAGGCTGTAGATAATTCAGCAAAAGAGAGTGCAAAATGACAATGACCTCACTATATACCTCCAGAACACAACAGCCAGTCTGGTCTTAAAAAATGCCCCAAACCTCAGATGGAAAATACCCCCTGGAAATAAAATGCATTGTGCAGTATGCCTCTGCCTAAGATCCTGGTTCACTTAAGTCTTAAGAACCCGCTTTTTTAACTCTTTATCTTTGAAGGGGGTGAACCCACTATGCCAGGGCCCTCTTTTAGTACAAAATCTAAAAGTAAAATATATCATCATCCTCATCAAGGGCCAGATCTGAGGAAGACATCGGCGATCGTGGTTCTCCATATATTCCTTTGCTTGGATGCTCTTTAAAAAGCTACGTTACCCTGATCTTTCCCCATTATCCATCTGTTAAGGTTCTCTAAAATATACATTACTACATTGTCCTTTTTTTTTTTTGGTAAGTGTTTTACGGCGCTCACAACTGCATAAGATCATATGAATATGAGCGCGTGGAACACATGAAACATTTTCAATTGGTAGGAAATTTTAATTTTGCCCGGGTTGCAGCCGAAGCCTACTCTGATTGATTTTGGACAACCAAGGGATCTTTAACGTGCACAACTTGCACATGGGACCTCTCCGATATTTTTTGCCCTTTTCCAAGAAGGCTAAGACTAAGGGTAGATATTTCCTACCCTAAGATCAGGGAAGTGGCTGAAAGACAGCAGTAAGCAGGAGTCAAGGAGTAGCAGTAGAAGGCTGCAGAAAGACTAAAGAGTCAGGAGCCCAGAGGAGGGGGCAGAGGAGGTGAGGGGGTGGGGGCAGAAAGTGGAGACGAAAGCAGACAACAGAACATTGCTAGAGAGCAGGAAAGGAGGGGAAAGGAGACATTTTTAGAGAAGAAAAATTTTTGTTTAGTTTTAGTAGAGGGTTTTACGGTGCTCGCAACTGCATAAGGTCATATGAGCGCCAGAAGATTACAGGTGTTACAAGAGAGTAACAAACATAAAACAGAAGAAGGGGAGATAAGGACGATAGATGTTTGATAGGAAAGAAGAAGCAAACCACACCAGAGCACCCGCCAACCACCCACAAGAAAAATTTCTGTCGCTTTCCAGATTCGTAACTGGGATCTATTGAATGAGAGGATCTTTAGGCCACGAGAGCGCCCTCTACATTGTCCATTGAATCAAAACAAGAGAACCTATTTTGATAGTTCTCCATCTAATCAATGAAGTCTCAGGAAGAGACATTACAGTTACAGAGCTTAAAGTCTTCTAGTGATTCCCATTACTATTAAATTATTTTTATGAGTATTAATATCATGTGGGTGTTTCGAATACAAAGAATATAATTAAATGGAAAAAAGTCAGGAACTAAAAACTAAAAAAACTGTTCACTATGAGCATTTTTCCCAATTGCGCGTGCTAGACTGAAAATCTCTGTAACAAAACAGTCTCATCCTCACAAACTACAGAAGATTTTGTTTAGCATAAAGCTGTTTGACCCAAATTTCTGTTAACATGAAAGGATTTCAGATCCCTGAATTTTTTTCTGCCTCTTTATTCTATACATTGTAACTTCCCTTCACACGAAATCTGCTTGATTCAAAGAAATTTTCATGTCCAGTCAAGTTCATATTATCAGGGGTCTTACTGCAGACGTACTGTCCCTGTCGTTTTATGCAAGAAAAATTATGAAATTATGCAAACTGAGCCCAAAAATGTGAAATTATGCGATTCTGTTAATTTTAACAGGGAATGATAAAGGAAAACAATCAGAAATTGGGCAAAAAATGATCAAATTTTGTTAAATTATGTGGGGTGCATAAAAATAAAACCATGGGGACAGGACGTACCTTTAAAGCCTCATGATACAATTCATCAGCTCGCTGTAAGTCTTGACGAACATGAGCCAGCCTTGCTTCTCGATACGTCTCAGTCAGAGGATCACTCTCTTTTTCTGCCTTTTTCCCAAAGCTGAACCCAAGCAATGCATAAGATATGCCCAGTCCTGTGCCAGTGGCACTGGCAACTTTGGAACGGCATCTTTGACCAAAAGAAAGTACATTTTATGAAAAGTAATACATACATTAGGAAACATTCATTTTACTACCGTACCTGCAAAGGAATGGGCTGCTATACTCAGACTGAAAAGAAAAAACCCCCACAAAGAAACTTAACGAATGCCAATGCAGAAAATGAAAAATTAATGTTTATAGTATAGTAGTAGGCTACCGGTAATACATGTACTTGCAAACATACACATTTCAGACTCTCCATATATATAATACGCATAAAAATATTAACAAAATACCAAAATTCTTTAAAACATGTATTTGGAATGGAAGCAAGCTACAAATTCGGACCCAGAAATATGACTGGCACTCTTTCAAACAATTTGGGAGTATCAACATCTTTGTTGATAAACTCCACCTTAAGCAAGACCCAGGGATGCCACTCAACTTTTTAAAAAATAGTTGAAAATCCACGCACCATAGCCTCGCTAACATATGAATATATCAATTTGAAACCCAAAGCGTGTTTTTTTTTCAACTATAGATTCTATCTCGATCTCAGTAACAGAATAGCGGATCAGGATCAAAATACTGGAAAAAAGCGGAAAAGTGGCATCCCTGGCAAGACCTTCAATAAGATCATGCCCTACAAATTTCACCTTTTCCCTTTTTATGAGCATACAGCATAGCTCATTTACGGGTAACAGCAATACGTTAACACATTTTTCAAACGGAAACAAGCTACAAACTCTGCCTCAGAAAGAGTCTGGTACTATTTCCAACAGTTTGGGAATTCATTAATAGCCTTCAGATTATCTTTAGCAAGACCTCTCAATAAGTTCCTCGTGCCTTTATGAGTTTTTACCTTTTGATTTTTTAAGGCATACAGTACAGTGGAACTCGGAATCAACGATGTCGCCAGGCCTGACCTAAAATCTCGTTGAATCCGAGTGTTTGATATAGCAAACATGATTTTTGCGTAGATAATTACAGGAACTGAACAAGTAATGTATAAAGAGAAGTAACAAGTGGTGCCTGAAATGCCTGTATATTATGAACTGTGCAAAAAAAGACAGATTCGTTCAAATGCACACCTGTGTCATCTCAATTGTTTGCCAAAACAGTGTGTGCTGTGTAGAGCCTAGCATAAGGCAACGTTAGATTCCATAGACCAGCGCACAATTCATTACGTAGATCTACGTCAAGACTAGTTTATCATTGTAATAATCATCTGTTTCCGGGGGAAAAAAGACTGACGCATTTTTGTATCTGCGACGTTTCACACCCTGACCGATGGTGCCCCCCCACACAACAGTACACGCACACATAGTCACACGAGTGCAGGCCGCCAATCCAACCCCAACACACACTAGAATTGACACATGCACGTGCCAACAATGCTTGTGTTGGTATGAAAGAAGGCAGGTGATTGGTCGCATGCAATCAGCTAAGTGAATAATGGTTCAAATGCAGGTGCAATGGAATGTATCCGGGAAAAGATAAGTTCGTTGAAGGAGAAAAATGGGCTAAGCCACGTCTGCGGGGGGCTGTTCACCCTGGAAGCAACCTAGTTGAATCCGAGCTTGCTGATTTAAGTGTTCGTTGAATACGGTTATTTTTATTGATTTTAACCCTCGTCCTGTGGGGGCCGGGTTTATGTCGCCCGATAAGCCTATTTCGACACCTCGCCTTCGTTCCGGTCCTGTGTCAGTCCGGACCCTGGCTCAGCGCACGCGTGCCGAGCAAAATCTCTGTTCCATTCAGGTCCCGCGTCGGACCCGCATTCACGCAGCTCAAGTGTGTGTGCGTCAGTCTGCTTGAGTTTGTGTGCATTTGTGGCCTATTTCTAGAACTGCAAGCGCTGGTTCGTAAACGAGGCACACGTCTCATCCAAAACACGCCAAGTTGGTAGCTCCAGATGTTCATTCAATGAAATTAGAACAAATTGACACACTTAGACACACAAGAGGAGCTCGAAAGGATAGTCAGGAAACAAGACTTCCATTTTTCTATACAAAATCTTTCAAATAAGCTTGATTTTGTATGAAATGATAATACCTGATAAAAAATAAGCTTATTCGATAGTTTTGAATACAATTGTGCAGGTAAAAAGAACAATTTGAGAGCAAAACATTCGGAAATTGACCTATATTATTCCCTTTAGAACCCCAGATCATTCATAACAACAAGAGCGTCTAAAAAGGTTATTCCAATGGGGGTAACTACTCGTAATGTCTTATCAGCTCTATAGTGGGTTATTCATGTGTTCCTAACACTTTATATATAGAATGTATAAAAGATAGAGCATTATTTTCATCATCGATTAACACACTCCCACAGTATTCACGTCGAAAACACACGTTTCCAGGCCCGCTCGCTGTACACTAATGTACACGCTGAGTAATCCCGGCGGCCTGTCTGGAACGTCCGACGTAATCGGTTGCTGATAAGATTCGCATCTCAGCATAGACGCAAAACAAGAGTTAAAGAAGAAAAAAACCCCTGGGAATCCATCTCCTTTCGTTGAATCTGAGTTCTTGTTGAATCCGAGTTCCACTGTATGATACAGCACCACAGCAGCAGTGATGCCAATTACAATTCATGAGTAACAGTAACAATAAAGTTGAAAAAAGAAAAAGTCACTGCCAGGAATTTATAGACATATAGATCTATATATGGACAGGTCAAGAAAACAAAAATATGCAAGCTTCTAGTTGAGTAGTAGTGGATTAACATGAAGAGGGCAAGCACCCACAGTTGGTATAATGAAGCAAGCTAAAAAAAAAAGGCCGGCACTATTTCTCCGAACGTTCGGGAAAATAAAGCTAGGCACTATTTCTCCGAACGTTCGGGAAAATAAAGCTGGGCACTATTTCTCCGAACACTCTGAAATCACATCCTTTCCCGCAAATTTCGGATATTATATAGATCTATAATTATAGCATAGGCCTACCAAAGATTGTTCGTGTACAATATGGTTCAATCGGTCCAAAACATGTCCGCAGTAAATATTTATATAAAGAAATGCTACAGTTCCAAACAGTTTTTCGATACAGATATGACGTGTTGCCTATGAAGAGTGCTACTCTTAAACTTAATGTGTTCACTCGTGTGCTGTCTAGATCTAGATCTACGGAGGGTTATTGATAACGACACATAGAACTAGCATCTGCGTTTGTCGCGGTCGCGACCAATCAATCGTGGCTCGATTTTTTGGGCATTTTTTGGTCCCCGAATTAAAAGTCAAATTTAAAAAAAAAAGAAAGAAAGAAACCGAACCTCTTTACTTTTGAAAGAAAGTTCACCTAGCTTCACTTCGTCTCTTTCTCACTTGTTGTCACCACATTGATTTGTTGAATACGTTACAGTTACTTTTATTTTTCCCTCTTTGTGGTGTTTTATTTTGTTAGTTTGTATTTTTTTCTTTCTTGTTATTGTTCTGATGTGTTGTTTTTCTACCAATTTTTTTTGTTGGGGAAAAGGGGGGGGGGGGGGGATGTTGTATAGTGTAACATGTCATTTAATTTGATGTTCCTACCTTCATTAGATTCTAAATATATATATATACATGCATATATTATATATAGATTTAAATGTGTTATGTTAGAGTGTACGTTCCACCAAAACCACCCATTACATGTACTGACACTGGCAGGCCCCTTAATAATGTGTGATTCCATAATTTACATGTAATATCATGTAGGCCTACTTTGTTTTAAAATTACGCACATTTAGGGTTAAAACAGCCAATCTTCTTCGGACAGGTGGACTCACGCCCTTATTTGTTAATTTTTGTGTTTGTTTATGGGCTGTTCTATTTTTTATTTCATTCTGTTGTGAAACCTTTCTTTTTCGCGTTTTTACACTCATCTAAAAATCTCTAGATTAGCTCTTGAAAATTGAAATAGATATAGACCTAAAAATTTGCTCCTGTGTGTGTATGTGTGTATGCATGTGCGTGTGTGAGTGTGTCTGTGTGTGGTAGTAAGTGTGTAAGTGGAGAGTGAGGAGCGTGTGTGTGTTTGTTTTTCGGGCTTTATTTCAGCCTTTAACAGTTCAAAGTATACAAAAATAGAAACACAGGATCAATTCACTCCACGGCTCATGAGTCGTTCCTCTCTTTCAGTTTCACTCATTCTTTCAATTCCCGTGTTCTCTCCCGCGGCTCATCCCCGTCCGCATGAATTTCACACCTCACCCCCTCCCTCCAGGCACACACAAAGAAAATCTGACTCATTCGATCCCTTGCACCCTGCGAACCATGGACAATAATATAGGCAAAACACTGCCTTAACCGCATGCCTTTCGTTCGTGAGCTGTGGACCAGGCCAGGGGGGTCGGTGTCGTCGTCTTGTAATTGCTTACGCCTATGGATACACTCGTACATTCTTCCATTGACCTGCTCTGTCACTCATACTGTCTCTCCATCCACAGCTCAGCTCGTCATACGTTGTGTGTGTACATGTGCATGATGGTGGTGGGTGTGTGGTAGGTGTTACTGAAGGTTGTCTGTAGGCGGGCTTGCCATGCGGTGTTCCTTCCCAGACCTGAGGCAGAATGAAAGTTGGCGCCGAACTCTCGCAATAAATAGGCAAAAAATCACGAGACCGGAAGCCGGAAACCGTTCGGAGAAATAAAGATCGGCACTATTTCTCCGAACGTTCGGAGAAATAGTCACTTCGTAATATTTAGCATGAAGGCTCAAGACCTTTCACAACCATCTTTATATGATAATTTGCGTATTATATGCCTACCCATATGAATTCATCTCTTGAGTTAGTCCTCAAAGCTAACCTTAATCATCAAAGTAAAAAACAATTGGAATAATCCGGTTCTGGCTCAAACGATTTTTACTATCCAACTGTCCTACAATCCTATCCCTACCCCTATATAACCCAAACCTAGCTTATAAAGTAATAAAGTTTGATGTTTCATTACTCTTGACGTCTTGAGGCCAAAATAAGAGATTGCCAAACAATCCTTTGGAAGTGGCTATCCTCACCCGGTGTGAAACAAGATCTATTTTTCCTAATTTCGGAATGCTGTCTATCGATGTGGATGATCAAATTGACAAAAGCAAAGAAAAAATGACGGTATAGTATCTAAGCACAAAAGTAAGCAGATTTGGTCGTCTACAAAGATGCTATGGCTATTTCACTTTTGGAATCGAGCCGAACTACGCGGGTCGCCATTTTGTTTTGCCAGGAAATTCTCGCGCTACTCCCCTCTCTCTCTTTCTTTCTCACTGCCCACAGACAAAATTGCGCGCTTTCAACACAAGAGCGCTGGAACGTTTGTTCACGGTGAACGCTACACTGGTTGGCCTAGGCTATCACGGTGAAGGCACACCGGGTGAGAATAGCCAAAAGGTTCGCCTGCTATATAGGTTGCCTTTTGTCAAAGTATAGATCTTGGTGATTTTGTAGTTTCATTCGTTAAAGTCAAGAGTAGGGGGGTTTCAAGGGGGCTTGCCCCCCTGACCTAATAAAAATATGGAGGTGGGGGTGGGTTCAGGGGGGCATGCCCCCCCTGAATTTTATCCTAATTTGATGTTTTGCAATTAGGTTGCATCCCTGCTCTTTGTGTAGCCTAATTCAAATAGTATTTGGTCTTCAAGACTTCTGGATTTCTTCTCTGGATGTAAACAAATGGATCGTGGACTTAAACGAACGGAACTACAAGATCACCTAGAATCTAGATCTTGGCCTATGAGACAGAAAGACCCACAAAAAATCAAAAGTCAAAAGAAACTCGTAATTTACACATAGATATTAGATCTAGATTTTCTAGATCTAGATCACAGGCGAGTTATACTCACTTGCATTAATAATATAAGTTCGTCAGTTGAAAGTGATAGATTTGTTAGTAATATTGTTGTGTAAGACTATACTGTAATTTAGTAGTCTACAGACAGCAGTTCAAGTTCAGTAGTCTACTTTCTTGACTTGTGTAAAGTTCGACTTTGACGTGAGTGTGATGAAATGAAGGTCGTTGAAAAAAATAAGAACAAAGAAAGCCCAGCATAATAAACGGTATTTACGTCTTAAAACCTACACGTTTCTTATTGAAGTTGAAGCACATTTCAAGACCCTTTGAGTCGATGCTGACTTCAGGACTGGATAGGTGAGACGTCCAAAATTCATACATAGTCTTCGAATCATGGGGGTCGCCATGTTGTTTATCATCAAGGGATCGGTTATTTGTTTATACTATGCAGATGATTCAATACAAAATATTTGCCAGTATAGTACCTATTTTTTTAGATAAAATTACGATAATAATTCTAATATGAGGATTGAAACTTATAAATAATACAAAGTCTGTAAAATAATTTGTAAAGTCCAAATAAATGAAACCAGAGCCTGTAGCTAACCAATGCACTCCTCCGACTGTTATAAACTTCCGGGTCAAGGCTCATATGACCAGCGATTCGCTTCGTTCGACAAAACTTGTGACCACTATTGTGTGGTCATCTTATGATACTTTTTGAAAGGGTCTCTATTAACGAGTTAAGGGATGTTTTTCAATGCCGAAGATGACGAACAAGACTTCATGTCGAGTGGAAAGTGCGTTTAGTGTTATTTTTTATTGTCATAAAAAAGTCAAACTTGTTGTGTTGATATTGATTCACGGAAAAGTGGGAGTGGCCGATGCCGAATCCCTCTCACAACATTGTGACAACACTCCCCCCTCCTACCCTTACCAGGTCCAGGGTTTTCAACATTTTCCCGACACCAGCATAGTTGTTCACATTTCTACGATTTGTTAATTGAGATGGTTAGACCCTGCACATTAATCATTGGGGATAAGCCTTTCAGTCAACGACTCACAAAAGTCAGTTTCTTTAGTTCCAGTTTGCTGCTATACCTGCTATGACTATGACACATTCTATAATTGATTAGATTTTCCTTGATTGTGGGGATCTGAACTTTACCACTACAGTCAAACCCCGTTTCGGAAGGCCTATATTAGATTTACTTTTACGAAGTGACTATTCGGACTCGCCGAGTATGACTCGTGACTCTGGCTTCCTGTTCTGCCTCACTCGTGACTCGCCTCAGGATGGGTAGAGACCGGGATCACTTCGGGCAAAATGG